TCTCTTACCAGGTGCTGTGCAGAAGTACAAACACGTCTCTGGCCACTCTGTATGATCCGTCTCGCCGTCTCCGTTTTCATGGTCCGTCTCGATCAAAAAGGGTTAAATGTATATTTTCACTACATAAAATCACAATAAAATAGTCGCTGTCTCGCCTCATCCAAGGAAAGACGTCAACTTCGACATAGTGCCATGGGATATCCATCCAGCCCCCCCCCCCCTTTGGTCTAGTCCCCTTTGTGTACACACCGCTTCTTCTGCGCAGCACATCAGAGGACCAGAGAACCAACAACCAGCACACACAAGAACGATGGGTGCACAGACACGCAAGAAAAAATCGCGCCTTACTCTATTTAAAGCAGCACGCCCCTTGTACTTCACACGCCCCTCCCCTCTCCTTCCAGCCGTCCTACAAAACGACGGAAAGCTGGAGTGGTCGGGTATTCATACATAGCTGCTAACAAGGGGACACAGCTGCAACGCGGGTCAAGCGGCGGCAGCGGGAATGGGCCTGAAGCTGGAAATTCTGGCCTTACAGGCTGCAGATGTGTGCAGATGTGCTAAGTTTTGACTTACTTCACGGTTTCTTTGTTTTCATCCGCGGCAAGTTAACGACATGTTTACTTTTAGAACGACGCTTCTGTATTCTCATGAAAATGGGCTGCTGTCCTCGTTTGCCAACTCATTGTCCTGAGTGCTTCATGTTGTTTCTATCGAAAGGAGCCACACTCCGTCTAGAAACAACCCTTGCCACCTGAAGAAAAAGAAAGAAAGAAAGAAAAGACTCAGCATGCATCCCTGTATCTCCTTGTGCCTTTTGTTCCGGGCTTCTCCCTTTTGGCTCGCAAAAGGGGTCACAAGAGACAGCAGAGAATGCCACAAGGAAGAAAAAGAAACGACAGAAAAAGGAGGCAGGAGTTGGGATCCTGGAATCCCTGTCCTTTGACCGACTCTCTTTTTTTACTCTCCCCCTCTGTCTCTCCCTTGTTTGTATCTGTGCGCCAGCTGATATCAAAGACAAACGAAGCACGGAGCACAATACGACTTACTGGCAAACGCCATACGAGCTGCGTGAAAAGGGCGCTGTCCATGAGGCTGATGGGAGTAAGATATCTATCTGCCCACAACACACCCCATTCACGTGGAACCGCGGGTGGCTGACTGGCACGACAAAGTGGACAGCCAAACACAGCCATACGCCAGCATACGACAGAAAAACGACATCGATCATCGGATCAAGCATGATGATCCGTTGTCCAACAAACAGACAAACAGCTCCCTTTCTCGACTCCCTTCCCCTTTTTTTTCTTATTTTTTTGTTCTCTTCTCTTCGTCTTTCCCTCACTTGTTCTCACCGGCAGGGATCATTGAGATGTTTTTACCTAGCTCCTTTGGACAATCTGCCGTTTTGCCTCTTGCCTCGGACTGTCCCAGCCACCTTCTTTTTTTTTCTCTAAACTATCTCCACATCTCCACTCCACCTTGTTCCCGCGCCACGGCGTAATACACGTCGCGCACACATCCGTCAACAAAAAGGTTTGTGTTCTACAGGATTGGACGGACGGGGCCGAACGCACAAAACCGACGAAGAGGAAATACAAGAAAAATCTGCGACATATAACGTGTGTGTCCGTACAACATATTCGTACTCCAAAGGAAGAAAATAGCTTTGCAAAGGGCACAAGGGCATCATCTCAAACGATATCGTAAGGCGGTGTTCGTTTCGGCGCAGCCCAGTCTCCGCCATGGTCCAGGTTCTCTCGTCTGCTTTTCACCTTTCCGCTCAGCACGCATAGTTTTTCCTTGCCAACTTGAACCCGGGGGCTACCTAGCGGCGAGGCTTTCCCGCCCCTCAGTCCTGAGCGATCCGAGAAGATGAGGATCGGGCCAGGCTGGTCCAAAGGAGGTCAGTTGTTCTGGCTGTCCAGGCTGGCCGCCACCGCCACCTAGCCCCCCTCGCTCTTCACCCTGGTCCGGTCGAGACTTGAGAGTAGAGAGAGGGGCTCTGTCAGCCGTTTCATGGCACGCGGCCGCTACAAGCATTCTTCACGATGATTTGACAAAGACTACAAGAAATGGGCAAAGAAAGGGTTCTCGATCCCACCAGAACGGCAAAATCGAAGCGAGAATCAACGGCGAGGCTGTCCATCTGACTGTGTATCTTACATGAACAAAAGCAACATAAACGTTCGCCACACACGACATGCACTGTTCGGGAAGCCGATGGCATATGCACGATTTTGCACCAAAAACGCACTCGAATGCACCACGAATGCACCACGAATGCACCGCCTAGACAAGACCCCCCCGCCACAAAAGCGCCGGCCCGCCGTACATACACTTACAGCGTACAGCCTGTCGACGGGGCCAGGCTCACTGTTCACGACGTGGGAGATCACCTGCGTCTGCAGCGTACATACATACCCGTCCTGCAGCCAGAGATCCCATCCCCCTCCCCCTCCATCCGTCACTCTTTTGCCCCCTCCCCTCCTCCCTCGTCCCCCTTCCCCTCTTGTTTTCCTACTAGTTGTCTGCCTTTTTGCCTCCTGTCGGCAGATAATGCGCATGCTCCATGACGGACCGCAGCGCTTTCGAACAGGGCACAGGGGACCGCGGGGATGATGGGATGCAAGCAGCCCAAATGGGCTTGCATGAGTGGACGAGTGGACTTTTGTTTTCACAGACTTCGTTTTGGAGGTCTATCCATACCAAAGCGCGTGTGCCCGTTTGCAAGCGTAAATGTGTAAACGTATCTTACATAAATCCAACGAGCCGTAAAGTCTACATCGAACGCGAGCAGAGACGACCCTCCACAATGGTTATGTCGTATGAAAAGGGCGACCGACGAAGACCAACAGCCAGCCCTTCGCCTGGAGGTCCTGTGCTCGTCCAGATGTGGACTTCTTGGGGGGTCCCAGTCATCGACAAAACATCCCTCTTCACCAAAAAAAAAGCCCCTGTCTTCCTCGGTCTTTACTGTCACTCCAAGGGTAACATCGTGTGAGAACGAGGGAGGAAGGGAGGACCCTTGTTGCGGTGTTTTTCCTTTTTCCCTTTTTGTTGTTTGTCTCCTTGTCTGTACATGTACGTCAACTCGTCTTTCGTGCATGCCCTTTCCCGTCTTCGTTGGGTCCCGGCCCCTTTCTTCTTCTGGCAAGAGAACGACACGGCCCCTCCCCTCTGATGAGCATTCGGTCGCGGACAAAGGAGGCATGTGCCAATGGACAAAGGAGGCATGTGCAGTGAGGACACGGCAAAAGGCGGGAGAGAGGGAAGAAGACGAGTCGACGGATCAGAAGCCCGACTGGGACAGGGAACGTGAGAGGCAGGGGTCATCGGCCCCCTCCTCCTCCTTCGTCCCTGCGCACTCTGATAGTCCCTCCTCTTTGGATGACGAGCTGATACGATGGTGGTTCTAAACTCGTGCTCGTCGCGTTTGTTGAGCTCATCGCGGGGGCCGGGATATGGGATATGCGGCGCAGACGTTGGAGGTAATTGTATGCCGTATGTCGTGCGTCTTGGCGAGACGAAAGAAGAGAAAGAGTATATGACTGCACAGGAGCCGCCAGAATGTGGCCTGCCTTATGCATATGCGCGCCATGGCTTCAGGGATTTGGGCAAGAACAGGATGGAGATATGCACAACTCCAGAAAGAGGTGATGTGCCAAAAGAAAAGACGATACACCGAAACACAAACGCGCATAAGCAAAAGAACAGACACTTGTGGAAACCGAGCCCTGGCACTGTCTGTAGATATGCGTGCAGATATAGTGCAGACATACGTGCAGACATACGTGCGTGCAAGCATTTGCTTCGTGCATCGTATGGTCGTAGCCAGGTGGACGGCCGGCAAGGAGAGGGGAGGGGATGGGGTGCGCCCCAGCTGGCCTGCGTCCGCTGGCAGCATGCATCCTGTACGTGATCACGGACGGCCCGCATACCAGCGGCATGCAACGACGACGGTGGCAGCACCTTTGTTTGCAGACAAGCGTGAATGTTTGCTTGAAGCAAGTTCAGGCTATCTACCCCCTTGATGTGGCCTTGGGACAAGGCCCAATTGCAGACGTGGTATCCGAGCGTTGATATGAGGTGCTTTCGAAATGCAAATCTCGTGTCAACTTCAACACCTTCGTCGCCTTTAGTTGAATGGTGCCTTTGACAGTACATGTTCCGGATCTCTGCCTGCTTGATTCCGTACAACCGATGTTCAAGGTGCTTTCAAATTCAAGAGACCGGAGTCCAGAGACGAGAGACCAGAGACCAGAAATCAGATTCATTGCCTCCAATTTACGGCTTGACCTTAAGCTGCCACGCATCCCCATGAATATAGGCATATGTGCCCTGGTCAGATATGTACTGCTACTGATCGTCTATACGTAGTTCCATAGCACAAAATTTTGGCATGGAAAGGCGGCGACCAGTCTCACATGGATGTTCGCCACCTCAGATCATCACGACAAATAAAGTGGCAACCGCGTGAAACCATGTTGCTACCTGGTGCAAGCAACAACCAAAACGTTTGCAATCACAGAATAGTCAGCCAGCCATTCATTGCTGGTGTCTCGTGGATCCTGCGGCATGATGGCGTGCATGGCTGATCGTCGGCGGGACGTGGACGGCCATCCGGGACGGCAAGGTGACAAGAGGGCACGCCTGGGCAAAGACTACTGATCCGCGGACAAAGCCTCGAGTAGATGTTTTGGCGCAGGCCAGAAACAATGGTGTGCAAACAGGAGTCACGCGCTAGCCGGTGTCTCGCCATTTTCGGAGTACGGCGTCCGCCTCCCAAATCGGGGCAATGGTGGTTTGGAATCAAGCAGGACAGTCCCACCAAACACCGAGCCAAGTGCCAAGGTCCGGAGAAAAGACGGGGAACGCCATGTGGCCAGCGGCGGGGACAAGCCGTATAAATGCAAGTGAAGGGCACGCATTGAATGAAACGACAAGTATTGGCACGAACACCCCCAACCGAACGGCTCCATCCCATCAATTGCCCAACAATGGCCACCTTTCGAAGCGAATTCGTCGAGACAGGTCAGCCGGGTGTATGCATCCACGTGTCGCTGTCCGAGACGACGTCGCCGGCCCCGTCCGAGTCGGCACCGACCGTGGTCTTTCTGCACTTCTGGGGAGGCTCGACGCGTACCTGGACCAGCGTGCCTGCTCGCGTCGCTGCCGCCGCCGCGGGCTACCGCACGGCCAGCATCGACTTTCGGGGCTGGGGCTTGTCGACAGGCCCCGCGGATGCCGCCGCCTATTCCATCGCGCAGCTCGCCGACGACGTGGTGTCCGTGCTGACCAAACTCAACCTGCAGCGCCGCCGCGTCGTGCTCGTCGGCGTGTCCATGGGGGCCAAGGTCGCGCAGGTGGTGGCCTACCGGCTGATCGCCAAGGACCCAACATCCGTCGCAGCCGTCATCCTGGCGAGTCCCGCCCCGGCCACGGCTCTGCAGCTGCCCAAAGACATGCGGGAACAGCAACTGCATGCCTACGACACGCCCGAATCGGCGTCGTTGGTCGCCCGCAACGTGCTGACGCAAGCGTTCCAAGGCGCCAACGAAGGCAAGCCTTTGCCCGGCTTCGTTGTGGAGGACATGCTGCGGGGCAACCCCCCGGCCCGGGCGGCGTGGCCGGCGTACGCCATGGGCGAGGACGTGACGGCGACGTCCTTGAGCAGCCTGGCCGCGCCGCCGCCACCGGTGCTCGTGCTGGCGGCCGAAATGGACATTGTGGAACCACTGGACCGCGTGAAGTCTGGCGTGCTCGCGTGCATCCCCGGAGCCCGGCTTGAGGTGGTAGCCGGGGCAGGCCACCTGTCGTCCATTGATGCTCCAGAAGCAGTGGCCGACGCCATCGTTCGGTTTGTAAACACGGCAACGAGGCAAGCTGCGGTCTGACTGGGGCAGATAGCACGAGGGCGATGGCGGCATTTGACGTCTTTTTAACCATGCATGTAAAAGAAGCAAGTGGACAGCTCAAACACGTATCCGTGCAAGATGAGTAGAGAACCATTGTACCACACAAATTAATCATTCCATTATTCGACAACTCTCGGGCAAGCATCCATATAGACATCACCGACTGGCTGCTCGGCCGCGGCAACACCTGGTCGATGCGGATGACTGTTGCGCTTGATATATGGTGCTCGTGTACGGCTGGGATTCGGTGGTGCAGAGTCACGGCCGTCTGGCCGACGCAAACATAGACCGAGATGGGATCCATTTTGAGGCATTCGGACTCAGGCACGGACACACTTTTGTGGCCCGGCTGCCGGCGCAGCAGATTTTAGTGACCTCGCTGGCACCATCGCCGAACGCGCCTGAGCCCCGTCCCGGTGCGGCACAATCCAAACTCACATCCATGGCCGGATCGCATCATAGAGCTCGTCTGCGCATCCCTTCTTGTGTAATGAGATGGTCCGTGGCTAGTCACTATGAAAACAACTGTCCAGTCCAAAGCACCGGCATGCTTCGTCATGCTGCCGTACGTAGAGATCTTGTGGACCAGAAGGCGAGCTGGTCGTTGCACGCGGAGCTGATGAAGTCGCCGTCGGGCGGTGCCACCGGTACCGACACCTCGTCTCGTCATCGAGAGGATGGACCATGATGATTGTTTGTTGATGCGGCACATGCCATACCAGTTCCTTGGAACATTAAGCAAAAAAACACTACGAAAGCAGTTCTCCTTCGCTCTTTGATATTATCCCGCAATTCTCTCCTCGACCGCAACGTCTTTTTGTCATGGCAAGAGGGTCTGAAAAGTGCAAGATCACAAGGCTTGCGACGTATTTATTGCATACTCCGCGTATCAAGTCACGACCGGGTGACAGGAAAGCAGAGACCGACAGCGACGATGGATGACTTTGACGGCGGAGAGGACGCCACAACGAGGGGTCCGTTCAACAGCCAAGGCGATGGCTTCGATCTCCTGTGTCTTGCCTGGTCTCAGTTCGTTTCTTTCGTACATTGTTTCCTCCATCCCGCACCAGCAAACACGCTTCCCCGTCTCCCTTTGTGGTCCTCTCGCCCTTCCTGATTTACGCGGCCTGTCTCGCGCCTGCATTAGTGGGTTTCCAGCTGTTGAAGACGCCCTGCGTCGTGGTATGTGCAGTAGTTTTCACGAGTTTGCAGCCCTGACATGGTGTGTGCCTGGTTATGTGTACCACTGCCTCACGAGGATCGCACATGCTTTCTTTTTGAGGCCGTACTTTGCACGTTTTGATGCCTGGTTCGGAATGTGCTGTGCAGCGAGGTCCGCGTTTTGGAATTTGGGAGGGTGTCTGGCCACATCGTATGTTCTCGACGACGTGCCGTTGTACAGCGAGGGACGGCAAACGTGTCATGGTCACGTCCGTAGTCTGTTCCAAAGCTCAACGTCTTCTCGTTTTTCTGCCTCTCACGTCTCAAGGCGGCGACCCCATATTTGTTTCGTCGTGTTCGTGTGTTTGTGTGTTCATGTATTTGCGGAAGCTACGTTGTATGGAAGCGGCAAGCCGCCCACGGGGCGAGAACAAAACCTGCATTCCTTACCCGGCGGGCGACGCGAGGTACTGTACTGCAGATTTTCCATACTCGGTTGGGCTGCTTTGCTTGGTCGTACGAACATATATTGACTTTGTACGCTCGGAAGGAGAAGAAAAGTAGAAAACAAGCTACTGTGAGAAAAACAAACGCGTATCAACGACAAACCTGCACACATAAAAAAAGAAAAACGCCGCTGATGTGAGTTGGCAACGTTATAATCAAGGCGGCAATGATATGAATGACGAAAGCAAACAATATATTGGGACAACTTGCAACTGGTCGTCCCTGGACGGTCAACATTCTATTTACGTATGGGGTTCGCGACTTGATGCACTTTAGCCTGTGAACTTGTTGGCAATTTCCAGCAGATCGCAACCAAGATCTTGCAAGAACCCCTGTGGAGCGGTTGCTATTCGTGTGTTTGTTTGTGTTCAAATGCAATGCTGGAACGCTGGCCATCATCCGCCCTGCGTTGTTCGTCTCGTCGATCTCGAGATTGCCTTGAAATTTTTTAAAGTAATATCAACCTCCCTTATCGCCTTGTGTTTTTTTCCTTGATCCGCTCCCGCTTCCGCATCTCGTCTATCTACTTTCTGGGTCCATCTTTTCCTTTCCAGCCATCCCGTTGCGTTCGTGACGTTGTCTCCCGCGCCCGGGTCGGAATGATCGAATTCGGTTTTTCGACTTGCCGTCAGTCAAGACATTACGGGAGCACGGGAGGTACGCGTTCAACAACGAAAGACGTGCAGAGTGCATAAGCAGAGCGAGAATTCAAGACCATGGACAAGGGCGACGCGTGCAGGAACTCGCAACGGCTGTCCGCATGCAAAACATGCAGGCTCTCGCCGGCGTCTTTGTCACTTATCGTATTGTTTTCCTAACGATCTCACGAAAATGGCACATTAACGGACGAAAACGGCCATGTTGTGATGCCCTCATAAAGGCAACAAAAGCAAAAGGTGGGGTTACTTAAACAGTCAATCTCGTACTTTTGGCTTCCACAAGTTTATTTTTATCCGCTCATTCGCCACCTTGGAAAGGAAAAAGGAAGATCAGGTCGATCACCACAAGAAACACTGTGTCTGTGTGTGTTCTGCCTTGCTGGCCGGCTAGGCTGGGATCTGAGATGAGCAGATCAGTGCACGTTTATCATTTCGTCACCTCTCGCTGGTCAGTCTCGGTAACTTATTGCAACCAACGCCATGGAGTTGCAAATTAAAGATAGAGCAGATGCGACGTATACAACAGCAAGTTTGGACTTCTTTAAAGACTCTGCCCAGGCTTGTCCCTCCTGACATACCGAAATATTGTCAATATCTCGCGTGGCAATGCCCCTGTGCGTGCCACCAGCGCCGCGCGGTTTGGCGAGTGAGACACACACAGACTGTCAATAGCCATTATGCTAAGAGAACACAACAGGGAAGCGACCGAAAGGCCTACAGCTGAAGGGAGCACAGTTCAGACAGCGAGAGCCAAGTCGTCGGCCGTCAGCCGCAAGATTGGTCGCATTCCCTCTCTTTGCTCTCTCAATAACAGGCAACCGTCAGCCGTCAGCTGTCAGCCATTGGATTCATAATTCCCAATCGGGCAAATGCACAATTGTACAATGCGTGGTTCCGCCCCTTGGCCAGAGGTCGACCACGAAATTACACAGCCAATGCCCTTTCATGACGGCTCAATTTACGTGGCGGGTGGAGAGGGGCACTTCATTTGGTAGTAGGACCTCTCAAAGGACCTCCCTTTGGGTTCACGGACGAAAACAGAGAGAGAAACAATACGGGGCAAGGTCTTGGCCACTGGGCTTGAGTTTCGTTCCTTTCCACCTAAAAAGGATGATGTACTCCGTAGAGTGGCAAAGGGTTGCAAAGGCCACGGAAGCAGGGGTGGAGTCCAGGGTCGCAAAAGAGGATGGGGACCCTTGTAGACCCACACTGTGCTGTTCTTGCCTCTTGACGCTCGACGCCAACGGTTGGATGTAAATTGTGTACTACTTCTGGTCACCAAAATGCATTGAAATCACATGTACCTGGGGCTGCGCAAGGCCCGTGCTCCATGCTCCGTATGGATTCTGCGTGCCTCCCCCTACGATTACTGTGCACTGGGGGTTGTTTCGCTAAAATGTCGAGACCTGGCACTCAATTTGACTGGCATCCTCAACAACTGCTGTCCAGCGCGTTTCTGTCTCCAGACCTTCGATGCCCTGTATTTTCCTTTTCTCGCCTTACCCCTGGCCTAGGCCTAGTCTGTTTCTTACCATGCGCTAAAAAAACGACTTTCGTCGTGCCCCTGGTGCGCGGTTTCCCCTTTGTGCTGGCCTGCGAGTCGTTCCTTCTCTTTAACATCGCCACCATCGACGGTCGCACTCACTAAAAGCGGCTCGCATGGTGGAATCCGCATTTAGGCCGTCGCGTGTCGTGTCTTTGTGCCTTTGTGACCCCAACCGACATCGCGAGGTTTCCAACGCAGTTTCCCCCCTTATGCTGCATTCCTATCATCGCGTTCGCTCCTGCTACGTGTAGCTTTTTTTGATCCTTGGGTGCACTGCGCTGGACTGCAACGCAAACCCCTGTCTGGTCACAGCGCCCAGCAGCTGTTCCTGGCCTGTCGTGACCCCTGTGTGGTCCACCGAAATATGCACTTCTCGCTCTTGCTCGCTCCAAGGACAATAAAGTCTTGCTGAATTGCAGATACACTGTAGAAACCCAGTCTTCTTCAGTGTATGTCCCCCTTCGTCACGCCTTCCGCTTTTGCTCCTACCGTTCTTTCCTCTTTTTGCTCCCCCTCCCGTACTTTTGTTGCCTCGCGCTTTCCCGCCCACGCCCCTCTTCTCACCTTATCCACATCTTTACTAATTCGTACACGCCCCATCCCTTGCACTCTGCGGTCCCTCCTTCCGTCTTTCTGCCTTTGTCGTCCCTGTCTCGCCATCGACCTTCGTATCTGGCCCACACCCTCCTTCCCCATCGTAATTCTTCAGAGGATTCTCTTTCCTCATTTCGCCCATCCTCCTTTTCTGTCCAACGACCAGTCGTCTCACCTTTTCCTCTTCCCTCTCTTTTTCCACAGGAAACAAAACAAAGGCGCACATCACCACCGGACCTTTTTTGTTCTTCACACGATCTTTCTGTTGGAATCAAACCCATTTACGTCTTTGATGATCGTGATGGGCTTTTGACAACATTACCTCTTCCGTCCAACACACACCCGCCTTTTCTTTCTCTTCTTCTTCCAACACCCCCTTTTCCTTCGTCCGCTTTTTGTTAATCTGAGCTAGTCTCGCCTTCCACTCGTTCGTTTCTTTGCTCCCGCTGCATTGCGCTCTTCACTGGCTCGATTTCTTTTCTTTTTTCTTCTTTTTTTTCGTCGCTTCGAAGCCTCGTCTTCACGTCTCTTCGCTTATCACGTCTTGCCTTTCGAACCGCCTTTCAGTTTTCAAATACGCGTCCCTCTCGTTTTCTACGCCACCGCGTCCAACGTCTTCTTCATCTTCACGATTGCATACGAATACTGCGCCTCCTTTTGTACTTCCCTTCGCTACCGTCAAATACGAGCTTGCGTCTCTTTCGCGAACACTCGGACGCCAACCTCAGCAATACGAACTGAACAGAGAGCAGGCCCCTCACTTCTCCCTCCTTTCGCCTGCCCTTCGAACCGATCCATCTCAACACCTCTTGTCGATCTAGGATACTGTTCATTTCGCGTCGATTTCATTTTTTTCTCTTTCGAGCGTACTTCGGTCTTCCTCCGACCGCAATACATTCAAATCTTCTTAGTCGATCACAATGGATCTTTTCGGCAGAACACCCACAGTGACGTCGGAGCAAGAGCCAGCAGGTCCGTTTTACTTCCGACGACGTTGCTGGAACCATACCGAAATACTAACATCTTGTTGCTTTCCTAGCCGTTTCAAACGTCTTTGCAAGACAAACCACCTGTGCATCATGTCCCGAGGTAGCACCAACCTGCCCTAGCTGTCCAGCAGGACAGAGCTGCCAGGTGACAGCGCCTCTGACATGCACGGAGTGCCCCAGGAGCTACTGTGCCGCCGACATATCCACACCGACTGCGAGTCCGAAATCGGGCTCCTCTCCCAGTACCGGTGCCATTGCCGGCGGTGTCGTCGGTGGTGTCGCCGTCATTGCCATCGTGACCTACCTCGTCTGGCGATTCTGTATCAAGGCCAAGAGACAGCAGATCTCCAAGGCCGAGGAGGACGGCCAGATTGACCGATCCATCGAGGCCGAAGACTCGTTCAACGCCCGCCGCAACCAACGTGCCTCGACGCACACCGTCCACTCAATTGCTTCGACCGTCCTCACACGGGCATCAAACATCATCCAGATCGCGTACATTCCGGGTGTTATGAACCGCCCCTCGCCAACCTCGCCGACTGTTCTCGTCCCGCCCGTCCCGCCCATCCCCATAGCAATTTCGAACTCGTCGCAGGCTAGCACGCCCGCTGGCACTGAAGAGCAGCACTTCTTCGTTCCTGGCGACCTTCGTGACTCGACCTACTCTGGCTACTCTGGCTTCACCGACCGGACGTCGTACGCGCGGACGTCGTACGCCCCACGCTCCAGCATCGCCTCGACCATCTACGGAAAGAACGCCGTGATAGTGCCGCCACCCCAGACCGGCATGAGAATCAAGCCAACTATGGTGAACCTCAAGTCGCCGAGCAATCTTGGCCCGAACGGCTTCGTCGCCCCGCCCGTGCCCAGTGTCGACTACGAGAAGTATAAAGGCGCTGCCAACACCAACGGCAGCAACCTCCGGCCTGTTAGCGCTGCCAACAGCACGTTCAGTGTCGGCTCCACCTTCCTCAACAATGCCAGTGCAGCCACCGCCATGCCAGCGCGCCCCGTTGTTGTCCGCGTTGGAAACGGTCCTAAGAAGCCGTCGAGCTCAGGCAGCGGTGCTGCTGCAGGCGGCGTGGCCGCCACCACTTCTGAAACCGAGATTCTTCCCACTCACCAGGAGGCCAGAGAAAGCGTTTCTTTGATCTCTCCTGTCCGGGAACGCTTCTCGACCTCAACGGCAACCTCGACCAAGACAGGCCACGAGTCAAAGGCCGTGACCATCATTGAAGACTCTCCTACCCCCGACCAAGGCCCCTTCTCTGACCCTCCCGCATCACCAAGTGGCTCCAGCCGAACTGGCCGTAGCCTGAGCGCCGTCATTGAAGAGGCCACAAGGCGTGCGTCTCAAAGGGTCACCACCGCCACATCTGTGGAGCGTGGACGGAGTCCCTTTGGTGACGAGAACGCGACGCATGACATCTAAAAGCCTTTACGTCGACGTGGCAGAGGTTACAGGCGTCAACATTTAGCGTCGGCCCCGATCTTATGTACAAAGAATTATATTGAGGTCGAGAGGTGATAGAGATACCCCGTGAGGTAAACATGTGCTCGCGTCTTGTTCTTTTTTGGTTCTAGGATTTACGGATATATGGTGCAACTACTTTTTTTACATGGGATGGCCAGTTTCTGTTTCTGTTTCCTCGTTGTTTTTATATCTATCTTCCTTTCTTCGTCACCCCCTTGTATCCCAAACTGGTGACACAAATTCGGGTTTCTTCCTTTTTTCACCCCCATCATACTTTCTTCAACACCTTTCCCACCAGGTAAAGAGATCTATATCACACATGTCGATGACGAGAGGCTGTCACGAGGTCATCGACGAACAGAAGTCCATCCTCTGCAGCCTGCTCACGTCGACATTTTAGAGCGTGGATATGAGGTTTTGTTTGTGGAAATCGAAATGACACAATTTCTGCAATTCCTGTTTCTTTTGATGTTTGCCGGGTGTGAATGTCCTCGGTTGTAATTTGTATCTATGCACATGTTCGTTGCATATAGCAGTGGGTGATGCGATCCAATTGCAGCGGCCTCGCCGCGACAGGTATATGGATATGCTCAGCCTCGCATCCGTTCATGCAAAGACTGACGCTTCGGTCAAGAAAGTAGAAAAGGAAGGACAGCTTCTGTGGATGTTGCTGCATCGCCGCGATTCCGTGAAGGCGCCCACGTGCGTTTGTGTAACGAGTTTATTCGTATGCCGCACCGGCTAGACCTTACCCCTTCCCTCTCTTGCTGCCCCGTAGTTCCTCACCGACGGCTCGTCCCTTCCCAGGCCGGCACCGACGGAACAACGGAAGTCTAGCTGGTTAGAAAAAGTAGTTGAGAACACGGTTTCGAGACACATAGGTCAGGAACAACCACCACCCACGGCTATCCAACTAAGCAGGTGATTTTTTAAGTTTAAGGAAAGTTCCCATGCGTGGGGGCAGCACATCCCCATCTGAAAAACCTATCTATTTTCCTTCTCCCCTCCTCCAGTTGGTATCGAGCGCCTTACACCCTCCTGGCAACGTGATATGCCCAAAACAGCATCGGAGTCGCCCGACCGCATGCCCTGTCAAGCTCAAAGGGAGGAAGCGGTGAGCGTGGGGTGGTGGACTTGACCATCATACGAGCGTTTGGTCACCGGGAGAGAACTCTCGAGGGGCCACATATGGAAAATCGTTGCGTCTTTGTTCACCGCCATGTTTCTTGTCGCACTCTCCGCATCGACACTCCCGCCCGTGGCTTCACTGTGATACAAGGGCAGTACTACCCAGGATACACGCGAGTAGAGGAACAAATGAAAAGAAACAAACAAAATGCGTCCCTCCTTTTGCGCTCGACATAATACAACGTAACACTTTTTTTCCCCTCGTTTCTTGGAGTCTTTCTAGAGCGTAACGAAGAGCCGGTGACGCACATGTCCAGATTTGTGGGATGTTAGAATGGACCCCCCAAGTTCACTCCCACCTGATATGTTTCTTTTATTTTTATTTTTTGTGGCTACCCCCACGGTTTTAATTCAGAGTGGATTTCCTGTGCTTGCATCCAACGGTTGCGGATCGTGCTCGGGGCTACGGCACTGAGTTTGTTTTTACTTCTTTGTTCTCCTGCCTTTTCCCCCATCACAGTCGGATAACGTCTTTCCAGCAGGCGTGACGCAAACGAGAGACGACCGAAGAACGGAGCAGAAAACACATGTCCTGCTCAGATAGGTGCGTCGATCAGTACGCATGATAAATGGAAAATGCTTGCCTCCGGCATAACGAAGGACCGAAAACGGATGGGGTCGAGCGTATGAGAAAGGCGTAGGCCGGGCGCGCATCTGGCCGTGGCTTTCTTTGTCCACGGGTCGGCATCGACATCTTTTTGCCTGCTAGCCCGGCTAGCCTGGCCTTCACCTCCTGCTGATAGCGGTCTCTTACTTTCCTCTGTGGGGTTTCTGCTGTACGAAGTACTGATCGACCGCTTTCCAGTCTCTAGCTGTGTCTGTTCCCGTCTGTGTCCTCGGTGTTCCAACAGCTGTCCCAACAGCTGTTCCAACAGCAATGCCCGTCACGCAAGGAAGGAGGTTCGCGTTCGCTCCCGGCCAATTACGATGTTGGATTGATTTTGTTACTACGGAAAGCAACCATTGGGTTGAGGCGTGAGCAGCTTGTGTGATTTTGAAAGAGACATTGCGAAGTCTCATTTTAAAATCTGTTGCCCAGATTTCTTTCATTCCAGCTTCCACGGCGTTCAACCAATGAGATGCTAGAAACACGGTCAGGACTCTGATATTATCATCCCATGTCACCAAGAGCGTCAGCCAACGAGGCTCTCCAAAGGGCCAAAAGTCAATTTTTCTTAAAAAAAAAAACCCCACAGGATGGCGCATATCTCTTCGACCCTTCACAAATTGGAAGTAAATACGAGGGTCAGTCACAACAGGCGGCTAGCCTTGAAGGTGTAATACTACAAAGGTTGAACCTTGATGGAAAGAGCATGGACGGTGAGTACAATAGACACGCTCTTTTCTTTGGGCGTGCGGATGCGGAGCTCTCCGCACCGGGTATGGGCTGCAATGCCTGACGTGGTGAGTGCCGGCGTGCCTGCCGCCATTGGCAACAACGACCAAAACAGAAAGGAGACTACCACCTGGCCGTGATAGGGAATTAAAAGTTCTCCATGGGATGGCAGGGTATGCCGAATGAGGTAGCTGTTTGGCAAATTTTGCTCGAGAAAGGGGAGGGTAACTTTTCTTTTATTCTTTTTAAAATTTTCTGGGACGAAAAGGTGGCTGGGGACAGCAGATATGCGTGGATGTTAGTAGAAAAGAGTACGGAGTATCTTACTTCGTAGAATTGTGATTTTGTCACCTTGCAACATTTCATATATCCACTGTCAGTTAGATTTGAGAGGTACAACCAGTCGGAAACTCTCCGTTTTGGGTCTTTTTGTGGGCGGCGCGTTTGAGTAAAGGGGTAATCGAGGAAAAAGAATGGAGGATAGTGGATAGGGTAGAGAGAAAGGGCTGGTGATACGAAATATGCAGTGGCCATTTTGGGCGAAGAAAGAAAATTGCTTTATCTGTACGGTGCTAGTCCTCTCATGGTAGATGTACGGAGCAATACGGAATGAGTTTGAATCACATAAGCCTCTGGCGAAGGAGAGGATGCGAGGAACACGGGAGGGCAGGAACGGCGCCAGCGACAAGATGTGTCAAGAAGGTGAGCGACGAAGCTGCAGTTCGTTTTGGCGTGCAGGTTTAGCAAAGGTGGTGGAATGCATGGTGGCCTGCGAATGTAACTGTGGCTCCCTTGGCTGAGCCACAAATACCTCCTTGCAGGTTTGCTGGACGAAACACTCAAAGGGCAAAATGGAGAAAATGATGACCTGAACAGGGCGACGGCAAGCGGTCCTGCCCACCATCACCGCCCCGGGCAAGGAAAGTGCCGATTAGCGGGCCCTGAGTTTTGTTTTCCTTGATACTGTGTCATACACTGTATCATGCACTGTTTCAACATCTGCTTCGCATGGCCAAGTCACTACGAATCGTACGTCCGCAAGACGAAGAAACAACTTGCTTTTTTTTGGGTCGCTTAGAAAATGCTTCTGCTTGCATTTTCCAATGGCGGTACGTTATGGACGTACATGGAAATTCCATGCTCTCATTCGCCGATGAAAATATCTGAGCAAATAGTCCGTATGTGTTCTCATTCTCTGGCTACACTGTGCACATTATGTGATGAATGCATTTCGCGTACCTGTCGTCTGGCGTCTTCATCTTTTTTGTTCCTGCACGTTCCTTGGCTAATCGTGTCTCGACGGGCCTATCTTCCATACAGACACTATGCAACAAAGGGCAGGCCAGGCCAAACGGGTCAAAGAGCAAAATATAAATATAAATATAAATATAAATAATACGTCGCAGTTGGAGAGCCGAAAAGTCGTCAACTTTTACCGCCTGGGCAAGGAGTCCGGTTCTCTGTTAGCCGGCTGAGTTTGCAGGACACCTCTGCTGTACAGAGTTCAGCGGCTTTGACCTCTCTTTGGTCAGACTCTTGGCCGATCGCATCGTCCTGGCGTCTGGTGCAAAACGGTGTCGTTGTGATCTGATGGCTTACGTCTGTCAGAGCAGGTGATCGTCAAACACACGTGAGATGTAAATCATGAGACAAGATCGAGAGGGACAGTGGCAGCTGGAGAATGACAAATTGGGGCCGGCGGATTGGATTTTTGGTGGTTCGAAAAACATTTCGAGGGCTCGCAAAGTGGAAGCAAAAAGCCACAAAAATGCTTACACCACATTGGCTGCCAGGAAGCCAACCGCACCACCCTTGCACCACTTGCAGAGCTTGTGAGCTTGTGAGCTTGTGCACAGACCAATCCCAAACCACACCCCGCCTTGTCGGTTTTTAGCGTCCAAGCTTGCTTGTTTGGCGTCGTGCGCATGCACCTGGTCGGTGTCCACTCTGTCTCGTTGCCACCTGCAAAGGGATTCTACCTGAGGCATCTGAGGATGAGAAGAGCTGTCTACTCAGCCGAAAGCACCTTTTTGGTATGATATGCGTGCCAAAAGGAGGGAGCTGCGTTTTGCTCAGTTGGGGTTGACGTACAGTCCCAAAAGGGGAACTGCACGATGCAAAGGCATACTGGGGAGAAAGGCTGCTTGTTGTTTGTTGGATATTGTTGTCTCCTCTTGGAACGTCGTTTTACTCTCCTCCTTTACTAGTCAGCTGGTTTACCCTACGAACAGAGGGCACCTGTCTTTGCCAGACACGCCAGGCATTTTCGATATCAAGGGGCGGCACTCTCGGTCCTCTGCCGTGGCTGCTTTGTTCGTGTGTCCCACAGAGCTCTCAACTATAGGTTATCTAGTGTATAGAACTTGTAAGTTGGCACCTCGTTTCGAAAACCCAAACAAAAGGTAACAGCGTGGGAAAAGAATCAAGGACGGCCAATGCAGACGACGGCCTACAAAGTGGACCTCTTGGACCGCCGATCGAGAACGGGGTTGGTGTGCTGAGCGGCAGGACGACGCACGACCAAATCGACGAAAGTGTAGATGACGCTTTGGCGTAGGCTGGGAACATCTTGCACAAACCTCTCACGTATTGGCGGCTTAATCCGACCGCGCACCGCTGTGTCTCCCGTACCACGAACAAACGTGGCAATCGTAAATAAAAGGGGAGGGAGATATCACACACAACAGCGACGAACCTACGAGAACACGGCAGGGCGAAAGAACAAGGAAAAGAAAAAGAAAATATAACACACGAAAGCTGCCCCTTGGATCCAGTCGCAAACTGTTCTTAGATGTTCAACGGATTTACTTTTAACCACCAACTTACCATCGTCTCCAACGTCCCCCCCCAGCATCCCCTTACCAATCTCAATCCATAACAAACAGAAGCCGGTGTAATCAAAGAGCCGATGTACGAAATACTACGTACGGCGCTCGTCGCTCTTATTACCCATCCTAACCCATCTCTGCTCCCTTTTCGTGTATCTCGCTCGTGTTACTCTTTCCTTGCCTCCCTTGGCATCCGCGGCTCTTTGTGGAATCAGCTCTCCATACTATTCCCGCCGGGTCGTCTTACTGGCAGCATGGGAGACTCTTTCCTAGCAGGAGATGTAGACTATCAGTGGCGTTGGACGAGGAAAGCGGCGGGTGTGCAGTTGTCTCAATTTACACACCACCTTACAATGTCATGCTATAAGCGTCTGATGTCAAGAACTTGCACCGCCAGCATGATCACAAGGCTGTCGCTTGTTTGTTCAAGCTCGTGGCAGCTTTTGTCAGATAACCCCTACCCTTCGCGCCTTGTCAATTGTAATCAACAGCCTCTTCTGGTCGGCGACTACAACACCAAAAGCTCCTGTTTGGCTCATGTATGAATAGCGGAGGGGCGAAAGTCTTGCCGACAGTCGACTTTTTATGTGGGCGGCCGCCCGCTAGCTGTTGGCCTCAGCTCAAGTTAGCCCAGGTTCGCACACATTAGCACACGACCCCCGGCTGGGGCGGGCTCCGCTGGCGGCTGTGCCATCTTTGCCGCAGTATTACGCTCTCCGTGCTGGCTCGTTCAGTGTTTGGCTGGGTTTGCTGTTGCCCGCCAACAAAGTGGATTAGAGGCGCATTTTGGTCAAACGACAGGGCCCAAACACTGGCCCTTCTTTCGGCTGGCATGGGCCGCTTTTACGCCTTGAAGCAAACGCCCCCTTTTTTTTTTTCGCAATACAGCCCCACTGTGTACTCACGTCGTCATACTTTGCATGTACTGAGTATGGGGTGGTGAAGCTCAGCAGCTCCGGCACAAGTAGTGCGACTATCACAAGTGCACCGGCAGAAAGAGTGTGCAGGAGCAGCTGCTTCCTCGCCTATCCCCTCTCTTTCGAGAAAGGACAGCATCAGAGGCATTAGTCGCAAGTGCCTTCATGGTTTGTAGGATAACAGGTCGAGGTGACATGCAACGCGAGACAGACCTTGCCATCTTTTTCGGGATCCCTGTAGAGAGCCCTGTCTTGGCTCAGGCCAGGGCCTGATCTGGCCCTGCCCGCAGTCGCCCTTTTCGCCATGCTTTGCATTCCCAGTGCCCTGTAATACTGGGCCACCCAACGCCACTTCGTGCCTGGAAGCTCTTGACCGCGCGCTGACGAAGCCCTGCTTCCGGTATCATGTTATCCTCAGCAATCCCTTTTCAAAGCTTTTCTGGTTCTCATTGACTCCTCGAGCTTCCTGCTTCCGGTGAATGCGCCAGGAATACGACCAGGATACAAAATGCGTGTTGCGTCTTAGTCACCGCCTTCTGCGCCTGCTTCTTGCGCCGTGTCTTTGGCGGCCAGCACGTCTCATTGAGATCGGCTTTGATAGTGGCCATTCGTATCTTACCTTCCCGCGCAGTCTCTGAAATACTCTCCCCCCGTTCTTGCCTGTTTGACTGGTGGACTTGCGCATTTGAGTGATCGTGCTTTCCCTAGCTTGTGGTGTTGACCCCAGCTCCTTCCCGGCTCATTCTCTTCTCAAAGTCGCTCTTGCACTTTATTTCCGTCCCCTCCCCCCCAAGACAGTCCTCTGTTTTTGCGCCTTTGTTTTGTGATTTAGTTGTATTTGACTTGCGCTTGCCTCACTCGGACGGGAACCACAGAGTAAGGAAGAAAGCTCAGATCCGCTAGCCGTCATCACAGCTCCTTTCTCTCCGCTACTTTCCTCCCACTCAACCGGCAACGACTCCTAGTCCCTTTTCCTGTTGTATCTTACATCTTCTTTCCTCCCTCTCTCACCAGGCCCCCCGTTCTCCTCTTCCCTTCTGTTCGTTTGGCTGCCAAATATCACAGCCTTGTGCAACAACGGCAGTCGAGAGCTTTCCATCGCCACCCGTCAACCTTGTATACATACGGCTTCCGCCCCGTCTCCTCCTCAGTCTCTGGTCCTCCCATTCTCCTCTCCATCCTCTAATCCTCGTTACCTCGAGAACCCCGGGCCCCCTCGCCCGTCACGAACCCCGTGGGCATTCACCTTCTGGGCAGTCAAACTGCGCCCTCAACGGTCTGCGCTCGCCTCGCTATTCGGCTCCTAAGCGTCGAGCACCCAACGTCGACTCGGGAATCCTGAATATCAATCCTTCCATCGGCAGCTCCGTGAGAAAATCCACATACCAGACCGAGCTTTCGAGGTCGACTGTGGTCTGCAGCACAAACGAACGCTTCTGTGCATACCACACAAAAGAACGCATCACCCCAGTCCGCCTGCTTAGCTGCCCTAATCCCGCTTGCCGCGTTTACTGGGACCTCCATCCTGGGAAATTCTAGAGCTACGACGTGCTAGCCTCCTCGCCTCTTTCAACCCCTCCGCTAAAAAGAGCACAAAAAGCATACTTAGTTCCTCTAGTTCGTCTTTGCTCTTCAAAGTACACTCGCCCACACAGCAAACCTAAAACGAAAAGGCCCAAGACCTCTCGGAAAGTACACTATTAGTGCGACAAAGCTCCTTCAAAGCCGCCAAATCACCCAAACCAGATCATCCCGCGCCCCCCTTGCCTGCCAGTGCCAGCAACAACACTGTTAGCCTGCTGTAGCTACGCGAACATCTCTAATCTATTGTTATTCCATCTCCGACGGCGGCCTCGACCAATCTCTTCAGTCGAAACACCCCTCTTCTCGCTCTGCCCTCCCCACATTCCTACTGTTTTTGCTTGTCCCCCATTCACCTTTCGCGCCTCTTTTCCTTCCCAGACCTTCATCCTCCTTAACCCCCGAAAAGCCTCGAGTTCGACATCGTCTTCAGCTTCCACCCGAATCACTCAAAGCACGACACGGCCTCGATTCTCCCCCTTCCTTCAGACAACAACACTCCCGCATTCGCATTCGCATCCGATCCGGTCGTCGTTCGGCGACACCTCTCTCATCACACAATGGCGAACAAAATGGTGCTCTATAAGCTGGTGGTACTAGGAGACGGTGGTGTGGGAAAAACAGCACTGACCATCCAATTATGCTTGCAACACTTCGTCGAGACTGTAAGTTCGCGATGCAACGCTTTCCTAAAGCTTATTCGTAGCCTATCTCTGCTCTTGTCTCATTTCTTTGCTTCTCCATTTCCCCATTCGTTGTGCACAATCCTGGCGCTTCCTCGATTGGTCTTGCCAAGTATCATCTACCTCGCGTGCCAAATCGCATCGAAGCTCTGAGACGCAAGCGAGCAGTGCTGCACATTTTCTGAACCTCCACGTTCCCCGTTTCCGTTCCCATTCGCACCACGTCCCTTATTGGCACCGCATTGTCCACTTGCAATTGTATCTACTGCCAACGCCCCTTCCTCCTCCTCATCTTGACTCTTGTTACTCAAATACTATTACGTCTAATTGGCGGCTCTGTGCCTCGAGAAAACTGTCTCGATCTTGAAGCTACCTTCTACAACACATCTCAGCCTTCTCTCCGAACCCTCGTCCTGGCGCGCTCGAACCACAGTATGGCACCTGCGCCGCCTTTTACTACCCGATCCAAGTAACTGATCTCACTTACATCTGCATGGGAATACCAGGCTAACGCTGTGCTTTCTTCGCCTCCCAATAGTACGATCCCACAATTGAAGACTCGTACCGGAAGCAGGTCGTCATTGATGGCCAGGCATGCATGCTCGAGGTTCTCGATACAGCTGGCCAGGAGGAATACACAGCGCTACGCGATCAATGGATCCGAGATGGCGAAGGCTTTGTGCTCGTATACAGCATCTCGTCGCGCTCGTCGTTCTCGCGTATCAAACGTTTCCACCACCAAATCCAGCGGGTCAAAGAGTCAACAGCCTCTTCGCCGTCATACCCTGGCTCGCCACTGGCCGCCGCTAATTCCCAGGCACCCGTACCTGTCATGCTCGTCGGCAACAAGAGCGATCGTGTGACCGAGCGCGAAGTGTCGACCCAGGAAGGTCATGCGTTGGCCCGCGAGCTGGGCTGTGAGTTCGTCGAGGCATCAGCTAAAAACTGCATTAACGTCGAAAAGGCCTTTTACGACGTCGTCCGCATACTGCGCCGGCAGCGCCAGCAGGCATCGCGCCCTGTTGCTCCCTCGAGCGGCACCCGTCGCCCAGCAGGTGGCGAGAGCAGCTCTCGTCGGACGGATTCAGAACGCTACCGGAGATCCAAGAGCAACCGTTGCGTTATCTTATAGACACTCGGCCGATTGTTCCTTGCTCGTCTTGTTGTTGTTCTTTCCTTTTAATTTCCCCTGGACGCGGCTCGCGAGAGATCTTGCTGGCGGGTCTCTCGCTCCCTTCACCGCGCTTCATCCGCTCCTTCATGATCTCCCCCCTCGCGGCCTGTGCTCCCCCACAACCCCAATCGGAACCTCGAATCCAACACCACAAATTTTGCTTGTGTGTACAAACGATATCATCTTCAAACTCAGACGAGGCGCTCTTCCTCGCACGCCATTTCTCGATACGACCTGACGACATTTTATGCGGGAAAATAAAAATAAAAAGTGCCTTTTATCACGAAATTGAAACATAAACGTTCATTTTTTTTGTGCGAATTCACACAAAAACGATAACCACGACCACGCACTTTCCATCTTGGCACCAAGTAAGGACGTTCCTTTCTCGTTTCTCGCCTTTTGCGTTATCTGCGTGGATGCCATTCATTTTACTTTTTTGTCGAGTTCGCCTTGGTTTCTTTGTTCGTTTTGGACATCCGTCAAAGTCAAAACCGTCTTTCTGCCCAACAATGAACCCGTATCTTCCTGAGATGTCCTTTATGCCTCTTCGTCTACCATCAACAACATCACCATTTCCCTCGCCTTTGGTATTGCTGGAGTACCACTCTTGGTTCCACCCTTCTCCTTCCGACAGGCAGCTTTCGCAACGAAAGAATTGCGACAAATATTTTATACCAAGATACATCGGAGAAAAAAATTTACAAGGCCACAACTTCACGACGAAAAAAAAACACAAAAGAAAGATCCAACCCAGAACATGAAAGCATTGCCAGGGCGCACGGTTGTCATTGTCATCGAATCAAGCTCAAGGATTCCTCTGGCTTGCGATGTTTTTTATATATACATAGAAAAGGAGGTGGTCTCTGTGACCGTTTTTATATCAGCAAAGTCGAGCTGGCGTTTTGGAGTCTGGTCCCCCACCTGATCGTCTCTTGCTTCTTTATATTGTACATCTCTGTCGTCCATTATCATATTCTCATCTAGTTGATGTCCATTTTCTGGGGTTTTCTTTCGTGCTTACTACATTTATCCCGTGCGTTTTTGCTTTCATATTGCTGTGCCCTGCTGCTGTCCAATGGAGACAGGTAAGACCCTGTCATAAAGAGAAGGCCGGATTCATATGTTGACACTGTATCGGAAACACCAAAAATATTCAAAAATTTCACCCGTTCCAAGCCTGCAGAACGTCTAGCCCTTGTGACCCCTTGACAACCCAGTGGCCTGATCTGGACCCGTGGATTGTTTGGTGCCAGCTCCCCTCTGACCAAACGCACTGCGTTGACGGTCCTGTTCAACGAAGAAAATCGAAGGTCGGGATAGCCCGCTCCCTCCAATGAATCCCATGATGCCCTCGGTTGGGGAATCCTTGCCTGTGCATTTTCTTGTGCCACCGGCGGTAGTGACCGCGGCTGTTTATGCTAAAGTATTGATTATTTCTAAGTATTTTTTTTTGGATGTCGTGCGTGCTGGCCGACAACCGCTGGGTCCCACGACCGGGCAGTAAGGTGAACACTCGTCCTGTATGATGTAAGGCCGGTGGGGGTGCGGAAATGCCGTGCAGGTGAACGGTGTACAGCGCTCTGCGTGCTGCAGTGTGTACGTAGCAGGACTCGGTGCGACCTGTGCACTCGGCAGACCGCCAGGTTCATGGTGCCGACACGACTTTTGACTACGTATCCATCCTCCCCTTCCTTCTTTCCACCCGTATACTAGGTCGACAAGAAAGATGGGGTGCGGAAAGCGTGGGAAAGTGTGAGACGGCTCCCGCATGCAGCTGTCTTTGTCATCATCTGTCGACGAGACACGGACGGCTGTGGTGTAGTCACTTACATGTATTGTGTTGATTTATTTTGTTAATTCTTTTGATTTTTATTTGTTTGTTTATTTTTATTTTTATTTTTTCTATTCTTTTCGCGGAGAAAACCTAAGGGGTCGTAAAATCAAGCTTGTTGTAGGATTGCATCATGATATGCAATATATATTTGGTTGCAAAAATAATAGTATTTCCAGCCAGAAACTAAATAAACATGAACAGAACCTAAAGTCCGACCACAGATTTCGACACCCGTAAACAAATAATAGTGAACAAGATACAAATTTACTCAATCCCAAAAATTTCACGAACGGCGGCATTGTTTTGGGAATATCTCCCCTTTCGGTGTAATTGACTGTTGTGTGCATCGCCGACTTTAAAAAAGTGGACCCTCAACATCTCCAGTAAAGCTGTTCGGATCGTAGCACGTTTTCGTTACTTGTTTCAGTGGCTCTCTAGCCGTCCTTGCCAGCCGTTGGCAACCTCTTCCATTGGCAACCATAAGGACCGCGCTAATCATGAACAACCCCTTTCTTTGGGTCGCCCCTGCACTCCGGCCACAACATTTTCGCCCAGGAACAAGCCACGGAAGGCGCGCCAGCCTAAAACGCCAGATCGCGCCTGCGATGTGAATGGCCAGCCGCGACTGTTAGCTTTGACTTCCAGAAAAGTTGTGGTTCAACCTTCTCTTCTGGGCGGGTCGTTTTATTACGAACTCAATGTCGACATCGTCATTATCGAAGGGGAGCATTTGTTTTTCTTTTCCCATTCCTACATCTTCCATTTTCTTCACGCCATTCCTTTCTTCGCGTTCTTGTTGCTTATAATTCCCATTTTTAATTCTAATTAATCTCTTTCTTGTCGCTCCTTTCGTCTCACTCCGAAACGTCCGTGGGCATGGACCTCATCTGATTTTCCGATTCCACTCGTCCTGACGCTTTTGCGCACTGCCCTTTCTGCCTCTCCTAGGCGCTACCTTGATACGGTGCGCTCGACGCCTGGCGACGCGACAGTCCCGACGACGACACGATAGACCGGCCACCAACCGTTTCCTTTTACGTCCGGCGGTTCGAAAAGCAACTCTCTACGAATCAGCCATTCCTGCCAATCTGCAACCATGGCGGGCTTCCCTCGCTTCCGGTTCCTGGCGATTGCCATGGTCTTTCATTTCGTCTACATCTTCTCCATCTTCGACATCTACTTTGTCAGCCCCGTGGTGTCTGGCATGCGGCTGTTCCAGGTAGACCGTCCCGCCGAAGCCAAAGCCCCCGCAGAGCGTCTCGTCTTGTTTGTCGGTACGTACTTCTACGACGGCCACGGTCGCCGACCGCAGATTTCCCCCGCTGTTGTTTCTAACACTATTTGCTCCCAGGTGACGGCCTGCGCGCCGACAAGGCCTTCCAAGCACTTCCCGAGCCCTACCCGAAGAACGACGACGATCTGATTCCGCGCCACCTCGCGCCTTTCCTCCGCTCCCGGGTCCTCGAGCACGGCACCTTTGGCATCTCGCACACTCGTGTTCCCACCGAGTCTCGTCCCGGTCATGTCGCCCTTATTGCAGGCCTATACGAAGACGTGTCGGCCGTCACCACGGGCTGGAAGCTCAACCCCGTCAACTTTGACAGCGTTTTCAACCGGAGCCGCCACACATGGAGCTGGGGCAGTCCCGACATCCTGCCCATGTTCGAACAAGGCGCCGTGGCAGGCCGTGTCGACGCCGACCACTACAGCGCCGACGACGAGGACTTTTCGTCCGACTCGACCATCCTCGACTACTGGGTCTTTGACCACGTCAAGGAGATGTTCGCCGCGGCCCGCACCAACGAGACCCTGGCCGCCAGCCTGCGCCAGGACAAGATTGTCTTCTTCCTCCACCTGCTCGGCCTCGACACGGCCGGCCACGGCTTCCGCCCCTACTCGAGCGAGTACCTGAACAACATCAAAGTCGTCGACCAGGGTGTCAAGGAGATCACAGAGCTGATTAACGAGTTTTACAACGACGACCGGACCGCCTTTGTGTTTACGGCCGACCACGGTATGAGTGACTACGGCAGCCACGGTGACGGCCATCCCGACAACACGCGGACTCCGCTTATTGTGTGGGGGTCTGGCGTGGCGCCACCGTTGGTGTACCCTGAGGGCGAGGGCAAGGACACGGTCGAGGCCGGCCTGGCGCCCGGCCACGACGAGTACTCATCCGGCTGGGGCCTCAGCCACATCCACCGCCACGATGTAGCCCAAGCTGACGTTGCTGCGCTCATGGCTTACCTTGTTGGCCTCGAGTTCCCCGCCAACTCGGTCGGTGAGCTACCCCTTGACTACCTGGCTGCTCCCATCGATGAGAAGGCCAAGGCAGCCCTGGTCAACGCGCGCGGTATCCTCGAGATGTACCGCGTCAAGGAGGAACAGAAGAGCCGTTCACAGCTGCGTTTCCGCCCCTACAAGCTGCTCAGCAACGAGGATGGCGGCAGCAGCACCGACCAACGCTTTACCGCCATTGAGCAGTTGATCGAAGCCGGCCACTACGAGGAGGCGATTGAGGAGGCTGCGGCGCTGCTCAAGGTTGGCCTGGCTGGTCTGCGCTACCTCCAGACCTACGACTGGCTGTTCCTGCGCGCCCTCATTACCATCGGTTACCTGGGCTGGATGGCCTATGCGCTGACGACAGTCATTGACCTGCACGTCCTCGACGACACGACACGCCCGCTGCCCTCGCGCAATCTGGCCGGCACGATCTTCTTCTCGTCGACGCTCTTGGCTCTGTATGCATCTTTCTTTGCCTCGAGCTCACCGGTCTCGTACTACGCCTACGCCTTCTTCCCCGTCTTCTTCTGGGAGGCCGTCTATTCACGCCGTGCCAGTCTTGCTGCCGGCCGCAAACAGCTTGCTCGCACCCTCGACGCCACCGCGTCTGGCAGTTCGCGCAACGCTCGCTTTGTGTCGCTTATTTTCAACGCTGCCCTCTATATTGCCATTATCGAGTCACTGGCCCTCGGCTACATTTACCGCGAGATTTTCACGCTGCTCTTCGTCCTGGGCGCCTTCTGGCCGGCCGTCCACGGCATTTCTTTCCTGCAGCAGCACTTTACCCTGGCGGTGTTTTGGTTTGTGTCGTGCTTGTCCATGAGCACGTTTACGCTCCTGCCGGCCATGAAGACAGAGAACATTGGACTGATGTAAGTTTGAAGAGGTTTATGAGAGTGCCTTTGTGGGGTCAATTTACTAACATTTGTCTTTAGCATGCTAGGAGGCACCCTTATGGTCATCATTGGCGTCGCATACCTTGTCTTTGAGGACACCATTCTCAACGACTTTACCGCTGTGAAGAAGGTCAAGTCGGCCGCTGCGGTTGCCGCCAAAGACCCCATCCGTGAGGCGCTGCTTGGTGCCCAGATTGGCCTGATCGTGCTGTCTATGTGGGTGACGCGCTCCAGCGCACTCTCGCTGCAGGCCAAGCTCGGTCTGCCCCGGGGCAACCAGATCGTAGCCCTGCTCATCTTTTTCATCTCCATCCTGGTCATGCCGCTCCTGCACCGCTCGCGCCCTAGCAACAACTATCTGTACCGCCTGATGGTTGTCTTCTTGACATTTGCCCCGACGTTTGTCATCCTGACCATTTCGTACGAGGGCCTCTTTTACGTGGCCTTTAGTGCGACGCTGTTCGCCTGGGTCCGCATGGAGCACGCCGTCTATGCGGATTCTGTGCAATCCCAGAAGTCGCAGACGGATGAGGAACCCAAGACGACGCAGCAACAGCCGCAGTCATCGCAAAAGAAGCAGCCCTCAAAGAAAACGGCAGCGGCAACCAAGGCCAACGGCACCAACGGCTCAGCAAAGGCTGTGACTGAGTCTTCATCAGCATCTGCCTACCGCTCGCTGACCGTCGCCGACGCCCGTGTCGTGCTCTTCTTCTTCATCCTGCTCCAGTCGGCCTTCTTCAGCGCCAGCAATGTCGCCTCCGTCTCCTCCTTCAGCCTCGAGAGCGTCCAGCGTCTTGTGCCCGTCTTTGACCCCTTTTCCCAGGGCGCCATGCTCACTCTCAAGCTGCTCGTGCCCTTTGCTCTCATCTCCGCCAACCTGGGCATCCTCAACATGCGCCTCGGCGTCGCGCCGTCGTCCCTCTTCATGGCTGTCATGGCCATTAGCGACGTCCTCACCCTCTACTTTTTCTGGGTCGTCAAGGACGAGGGCTCCTGGCTCGAGATTGGCTCCACCATCAGCCACTTTGTCATTGCTAGTCTGCTGTGTGCCTTTGTCGCAGGCCTCGAGGGCGTGAGTGCCTTGTTTGTGTCGGGTGTCGAGGTGGTCAACCATCATGCAGAGGCTGTGCAGTAACGATGACGACGGCCATGCCGGACGGCTGATGAGAAAGAAAAAATAAGTAGCAACATGAAGATGGGCAACTTAAGTGCCACCCCAAAAATTATATCACAAGGAACGTTGTCCAGTAACGGTTTGCAGAGGACCGCAGGGCCTTTTCTTATTTATTTTGCACAGTTTATACGTCATCATCCTTTCGCGTTTGCATCTGGGAATTTCTTTAGATTTATTACAAATGTATATACACAAGCACATACACCGTTGCCAGTTGTTTGTTTTGAACTACTGTCGTTTTGCAAAATGTCGCGTGCTATGAGTTCGCGTCGTTAGATGCCCCATAATTGACGAGACTTTATAATGATACCAACGTCTTTAATGCCTTCCCAGTAAGGCCGAACATGTGATATTGCCATGTTTCTCAAAAGTTGGTGGTGTAGATATCCTCTACCACCCGCAAAATAATACCACCTACTGCACTCCTACTTCTCTACCGTCTGGAGATCTAGATCCCACTGGAATGGAGACCTTTCTCCTTCCCAACGGGAGGATAGAGTAAAATAAAGGAACATTTGGTTATGGCGACCTGGGGTGGTCTTTCCTGTGTCTTGTTTTATTTATATCTGGCGAGTCTACTCTTGCTCAGCACCCGCATCGAACCCTTGGCAAACGCTTGTTTCTAAGCCCTTTCGTTTCGTCTCTTGACCCGATCTGAGGTCTTGTGAGGCCTCTTTGGCCTAGGACCCGTCGAACATACTTCGTTTTGATGTGATAAAGGTTAAAGGCGACGTTGAGGCTTTTGGCCGGTTTACCGACGAATATCAACACCGAAAGCCGGCTGCCTCTGTTCCATTGTCTCCGACGTCATCGGCGTCTCCTCGGAGTCTATAACAACGTGAACCTCCATATTGCTGGCCTCTCTTTGGCTCATCCTCTCCGGCATAGCCGTAAGTTAATCGAAATGGGCGCTTTATAACCTTGTACGGGGAGATCTCCATCGTTCATTGTGACGAAACTGCTTGCTTTCAAACCTTGTAATGTGGTATGAGATTTTGTTTGTTTCACTATTCTCCGTATGCAAGGTAAACATTGCAGTTAAGCAAACGCTGTTATTACATGAGTTCCTTCGGTGCGGCTCGTCTTGTTGAAGTTGGCCCGAAGTGAATAAATGCTCTGCTGCGCAGGAGTTATCTTACCTTTACTTTGCTTACCCATAGCCCGCTATTGATATTTGAGGTGGTGCCTAGCACCGTCGTCGGATCCCTGTACGCTTGTAATGCTCCACACTGTTTCCCTTCAGTGCTGCCTTCTCTCCACCCCGCACTCCAGCGCCTTTCTGCCTACAGATCCCCTCCATCAGACTCCAAACTCACCGCGTCCTAGCGTAAGACGTGCACCAAACGAAAGGCTGCCTTGCAGCGATGCCGCCAATTGGCCGCTTCCTGCCACCTACCTCTTAGTCAGATCTGCCCCAAGGCGCCGCCATCCCGCCACCGCCGCGCCCCTCTCCACCCACTGTCCAAGGCTTGACCGTTTCTCTCCTTCGCTCCTTCCCTTGCCCTCTTCGACGATCACCACTTCTATCCCCTTCTTTCCTTTTGGACCTCCTTCTGGACATCTCTTGATCCGCATTTTTTTTACCCAAACAACACATCGGCATCGACACGACCAACGGGGGAATCGTGTCTCTCTTCCAACTCGCTTTGTGCCACCCCTCTTAGCCTCAGCTTCCGACATCAGTGCATTCGTTCCCTGCGAGCAGCACCCACGCGCGCAGCCAAACAGCCAGCCCGATCGCTGCCTCGCTCGCTCCCCTTGCATGCGGGTCGAAACACCCAACGCGAGGCTCCCTTCTTTTTCATTTTCCCTTTCGACCTTTCGTCCATTTGCATTGCTTGATTTCTCGAGTTCCTTGTTGCCTCCCTTCACGGTTGAACATCCATCTGCCACATTTTTATCCGTCTCCGTGCCCCTGCTGAGGCTACCGCGCACGCTGCCTTCTGACGCTTTTGCGGCAACTGCTTTGCTTTATCTTCGACCGTCTTCCTATCAGCGAACTGTCACCTAAACCGACGTTTTCCTTCGATTTACCTCTATTCTGTATAACTTACGCGCATCGTTGGCCTTGTTATCCTTCCCTCGACATCTTTCCCTCCTCGTGTGCACCCGTATCGCCATCTAGATCAGTCGCTGTCAGCGAAGCTGTTACCCAGGAACAGCATACCATCACATTCTCTGTCTCGGTTCTCGAGAAAAACTGCTGCCGGAAACACCGGAACTGCACAACTGTCATTGATCGCAAAGCCACCTGGGGCCGCATCACGCAGCAACACCTCAAGATGCCCCCGGTCGCTAACGCTCGACCCGGCGGATTGGCGCTGATGCCGCAGCCCAACCACGAGGATATTAACGCCACCTGGGAGTATCTAAAGAATGGAGTGAACAGCATCATGGTCAACCTTGATGGAGGTATGACGATGGAAACCGTAAGTGTACTTCCATGGCGGTCTGCAGAGCACCTTTGTCTGGGTCGACTCGGCTCTTTCATGATGTCCTATCGCTAACCCGTTTTTTTCTTTCTTTCTTATTTCAGTACATGGGAACATACACGTGAGCATACTCTTGACACCCTCTACCGCTTCGGCTCTGACAAGAGGGCCGTCCTTGTATTTAAGTTGTGATGTTAACTTTTTCGATTTCTCCAGGGCCATTCACAACTTCTGCACGTCCCAAAAGGCAGCTACAAACAATAGCCCTGCCACAGGTGCAAACTCTAGAGGAGGTATAGCACTTCTACCCCCTTCCCCCCAAATTTCAACAAACTTGCAAGCTGTTCCTGTCTCTTAAGCTTTGTACGCTAACTGCTCCCTTTTGTCATGTAGCGCATCTGCTTGGAGAAGACTTGTACGAAAAGCTGACAGAGTACCTCGCCGACCATTTGACAGGTCTTCGCTTAGAGGCCGAGCACCACAGCGGCGAAGCCCTCCTGGCGTTCTATATTAGAGAATGGGATCGGTACACTGTCGCCGCCAAATACATCCACCACCTTTTCCGCTATCTGAACCGTCACTGGGTTAAGCGCGAAATTGATGAAGGAAAACGGAACGTGTACGACGTGTACATTCTACACTTGGTGCAATGGCGCAGCATCCTCTTCGACAAGATTTCTTCTAGTGTCATGGATGCAGTCCTAAGTCTGGTGGAGCGTCAGAGAAACGGAGAAACTATCGAGTATCTCCAGATCAAGCAGGTTCTTGAGTCCATGGTATCACTTGGCCTTGACGAAAATGATGCGAGCAAAACGACACTGGACACGTACCGGTATCATTTCGAGCGGCCCTTTATCGCGGCGACGAAGAAGTACTACCAGGAAGAGAGCAGCCAGTTCGTTGGCAAGAACTCGGTTGTCGAGTTCATGAAGAAGGCCGAGAGCCGGTTGGCCGAAGAGGAAAAGCGTGTCGAGCTCTTTTTGCACCCTGATATTGCCGGGCCTCTCAAGCGGTGCTGCAACCAGGCGCTTATAGCAGATCACGCCAATCTGCTGCGCGAGGAATTCCAGGCACTGCTCGATAACAACCGCGAGGAGGACATGGCGCGCATGTACAACCTTTTGTCTAGAATACCGGACGGCCTGGACCCTCTGCGGAAGAAGTTTGAGACGCACGTTCGCAATGCTGGATTGTCGGCTGTCAGCAAAGTTGCTGCGGACGCCGAGAAGCTCGACCCCAAGGTGTACGTGGACGCGCTGCTCGAGACGCACACGCAGTACCAGGCCCTGGTCAAGAGGGCCTTTACGGATGAGCCGGAGTTTACCAGGTCCTTGGACAATGCGTGCCGCGAGTTCGTCAACCGCAACGAAGTGTGCAAAGCCGGCTCTAACAAGAGCCCTGAGCTGCTAGCCAAGTACGCCGACTTCATGCTGAAGAAGAGCGGCGCCGGCGTCGAAGAGGCTGACCTGGAACTCAGCCTGGTACAGATCATGACGGTGTTCAAATACATTGAGGACAAGGATGTTTTCCAGAAATTCTACTCGCGGATGCTGGCTCGCCGCCTGGTCCATACGAGCACCTCGTCGGACGACGCCGAGGCAAGCATGATTTCCAAGCTCAAGGAAGCGTGCGGCTTCGAGTATACCAATCGGCTACAACGGATGTTCCAAGACATGCATGTTTCCAAGGATCTCAACGCTGGCTTCAAGGAGCACGTCCAGGCCCTGGAGGGTAATTCGCTCGACGGCCAATACGCTGTTTTGGGTACAGGTTTCTGGCCGTTGTCGGCGCCGACTACGACGTTTGTGCCACCACCCGACATTCAAGCCGATTGCGATAAGTTCAATCGCTTCTACAAGAACAAGCACGAGGGCCGGAAGTTGACATGGCTCTGGCAGCTGTGCAAGGGCGAGCTTAAGACGAGCTACTGCAAGAGCTCCAAAACGCCGTACACTTTCCAGGTCTCAGCGTACCAAATGGCCATCCTGCTGCTTTTCAACGACAAGGACACACACACGTACGAGGAGATCGCATCGGCTACGCAGCTCAGCAACGAGTTCCTCGATCCAAGCCTGGCCATCATCGTGAAGGCCAAGGTTCTGCTCGTCACCAACGAGAATGGCGAGAAGGCTGGCGACAAGGTCGGCCCCGGCAAGACGTTCAGTCTCAACTACGACTTCCGGAACAAGAAGATTCGCATCAACCTCAATGTCGGCATGAAGGCCGAGCAGCGGCAAGAGGAGGCCGAGACGAATAAGACGATTGAAGAGGACCGCAAGCTTCTCCTTCAGGTATGCACAAGTAGCCTCTTTCATTTTTAGGTGCTTGCTGTTTTCGTTCAACATGCTAACAACGTCTCTAGTCGGCTATTGTTCGTATTATGAAGGCACGGAAACGCATGAAGCACGCCCAGCTTGTCAGCGAGACTATAGCGCAGATCAAGGGCCGTTTCCACCCGAAGGTTGGTGACATCAAGAAATGCATCGAGATCCTTCTCGACAAGGAATACCTTGAGCGTCTCGACGACGACGAACTCGGCTACCTTGCTTAAGGTGGGCGTGACGGGTTGCGGGGCATGCGTTCTCTTTTATAGTACTCCAGACGACGACATACCCAAAGGACTATTTCTAGCTGCCCACCTGCGGGCGCATGTATGAATATCTTTAACGCACCGGGGCGGAGCAAAAGAGAGGGGGGGCAATGTGTTTGACTGGAAACAGGAGGCTTTTCTTAGACAAAAGCACAGCAGTCTTTGTTCCCGATTTTGTAGAGACCGTCGCATCCTATCCCCGGGCAGAAAGAGACAGGGCGAGGGTTAATATCGCTATTTGACCTCTGTCGTTTTCTTTTCTTTTCCCCTGTTCCCTCCACACCTTGTCACCATTTTCACACTTGGCCGTTTGTTTATCATCGTCGTTCCTGTCCTCTTTCATCTGTCCTTCTCTCCTGTTTCATCCATATCCATCTCATTTTCTATTTTCTCTTGTCATACACAAACGATGGAAGGGATGAAGGACAGGTACACACCGGTAAACTACATTAGACGATAGTTTTGGGCAGAGGCTTAAGATACATTGCTTATGATTTCGACGTGTTGATCTTTTCTGATGCATTCATTCTTTGGAGCGGCCTGTGAGCGTTGTTTTTGGTTTTCTATCAATAGACATCCCGTACTTAGGTCGGAGCGGAAGCGCCTTTCTTGTAGAACAACGGCCTGTAATCGCTGAAAATAAAGTCTGTGAAAGGGGTCGCACCGAAAATTCATACCCTGTGAGACTGACCTTACAACATACATGTGCCCGAAATAAACTGCCGTTGTCTGTGTATCAAAACATGGCCGGTGGCTTTGTCCTGGACCGTTGATGACAGGCGGAACCGATCAGAAATATGGGTCTTGTATTACATAAGGCGCCTAAACCTGTCGCCCCCACAGAAAAATCTCTACCTCAAGGCCTAGGAAATTGGAGAGCGTATGCGGATCGGGCTCCTCATTGGCTGCTCGTGCAACATTGGCTTTCTGACTTTCGCGTATTTGCACCTGCCTTGTCGCTGGAGGGTCCCTCCATTCACATTGGTTGCTTTTTTGGCCTCGTTTCTTGTCCAAGGCCCTTGGATCTTACTTCTTCCCTTGTCCCCCCAGGCAGACACCGCTTTTGCATCCAGGCCGTCGATTGTGCGGCTGCTCATATTCCACTTTCGTCTTTCGTATTTTCTCCGGGCTGTGCATTCATCCTAGGCGTCCGTTCGAGAAGCATCCTGGCGCATTATATATCATATGTCGACCTGCCATTCACCCTTCTCGCACTCATCATCCTTGTCCTTCACCTCTTGTCGCCGCTCAACTTCCCCCCCGAAGCGTCTTCTTCCCCGTTGCCGGCCCGCCTCCAGCTGAATGAGGTGCATGCGTCTTACGACTTTGCGCAGCACTTGCAGAAGCTCAGCTCAGTCACCCGTCTTCTCGTCTTCTGTTCGCCCTTCTTCGGCACGCTTCTCGATCTGCTCGACTCGCCCCGTGACCTCTTCTCCGAAGCACAGCCCCTTCCACATCTCCACGACACACTCTGCGAAGCTGCTGTGGCCATTGCCTAGCACTCTCCTGCCGTTTACCGTACAATTCGCATCTACCTCAGCCGAGCAACGAGCGTCCTCGCCCCCTGCCACGACCCCATCCACTTCTTCCGCTGGGCCCTCTTGCTCAGCAGAGCCCCCGGCTGACAATATGAACGGATCCACGGCGCCGGTCTCTCGGCCAAAGCGCAAGACCTCCTATACAGTCGACCAGGACAGACCACCCAAGCTGCCACGGTCTGCCAACGGCAGCGGGTCGACTGCTGCTTATGCTGGCGTGCCTGTATCAAACGTTGCCGAAGACGAGCCCATGATTGATGGAGGCTTTGAGGGCGACGTTGACGGAGTGAATGAGGCCGGTAGCTGGGCTACCGACGAGGATGGCTACCGGGATGACGACAGCACAGCCGCGGCCGATGCTGCCGAAGATGGTGCTGACAGCAACCCCAGCAGCAACGAGAACAACATCAGCAGCAACGGCCGCCACCGCCGCCACAGCAAGGTCACGCTCCAAAAACAGCTCTCGGCCTCGGTGCCACCGGCTGTCCTGTTAGCACCGGGCAGCGCCGAGACGGCCGAGTGGCAGGAGACGATCCAGCGTGTCGTGCGCAACGTCGTGTCCATCCGCTTCTGCCAGACCTGCTCCTTCGACACGGACCCGGCGCTGACGAGCGAGGCCACGGGCTTTGTTGTTGACGCCGAGCGCGGCTACATCCTGACCAACCGCCACGTCGTCGGCTCCGGCCCGTTCTGGGGTTACTGCATATTCGACAACCACGAGGAGGTCGACGCCTATCCCGTGTATCGCGACCCCGTCCACGACTTTGGCATCCTCAAGTTCGACCCGTCTGCCATCAAGTACATGCCCATCGAGTCCCTGCCGCTCAGCCCCGACCTGGCCAAGGTCGGTGTGGAGATCCGCGTGGTGGGTAACGACGCTGGCGAGAAGCTGAGCATCCTGTCGGGTGTCATCAGCCGGCTGGACCGCAACGCGCCCGAATACGGCGAGGGCTACAGCGACTTCAACACAAGCTACTACCAAGCCAGTGCGGCTGCGAGCGGCGGGAGCTCTGGCAGTCCCGTGGTCAACATTGACGGCAAGGCGGTGGCCTTGCAGGCAGGCGGCCGTGCCGATGGTGCGTCGACCGACTACTTTTTGCCTCTCGACCGCCCGCTGCGCGCCCTACGCTGCCTGCAAGAGGGCAAGCCCATTACGCGCGGTGATATCCAGTGCCAGTTTTTGCTCAAGCCTTTTGACGAGTGCCGGCGTCTCGGCCTGACCCCGTCCTGCGAAGCCCAGATGCGCGCCGCCTTCCCCTCGGAGACGAACATGCTGGTTGCCGAGATTGTCCTTCCCCAGGGCCCCTCGGCCGGCAAGATCGAGGAGGGCGACGTGCTGGTCAAGGTCAACGACGAGCTGTTGACCCAGTTCATCCGCCTCGACGACATTCTGGACTCGAGCGTGGGCCAGAACGTCAAGCTGGAGCTGCAGCGCGGCGGCGAGACGGTCATTGTCAACGTCCCCGTCGGCGATCTGCACAGCATCACCCCCGACCGTTTTGTCTCTGTGGCGGGCGCGAGCTTCCACAATCTCTCCTACCAGCAAGCGCGTCTCTTCGGCGTCGCCTGCAAGGGCGTCTACGTCTGTGAGGCGTCTGGCTCCTTCCGCTTCGACACCTCCGACAGCGGGTTGATGGTGCAGTCGATCGACAACAAGGCGACGCCGGATCTGGAGACGTTTATTCAGGTCGTCCAGAAGATCCCCGACAAGTCCCGCGTCGTGGTCATGTACCAGCACCTGCGCGACCTCCACAGCGTGCACAACGCTATTATCTACGTGGACCGCCACTGGTCGTCCAAGATGCGTCTGGCCGTGCGCAACGACGTGTCCGGCCTGTGGGACTTTACCGACATTGGCGACCCGCTCCCGGCCCTCCCGCCTGTGCCGCGGAAAGCGTCCTTTATTCAGATGGGGCACATGCCGCACTCTGGCGTGGCCGATCTGGTCCGCAGCTTTGTTCAAGTGACCTGCTACATGCCGCTGAAGCTGGACGGTTTCCCCAAGAACCGCAGGGGCGGCATGGGCCTCGTTATTGACGCCGAGAAAGGCCTTGTTGTCATCTCGCGCGCGATTGTGCCCTACGACCTGTGCGACATCACCATTACGATTGCCGAGTCTATCGACGTCGAGGGCAAGGTTGTGTTCTTGCACCCGCTGCAGAACTACGCCATCATCCAGTACGACCCTTCGCTTGTGGACGCGCCTGTTATGAGCGCGCGTCTGAGCACCGAGGAGCTGTTGCAGGGCGCGCCCACCAATTTTATCGGCTACAACCGAATTAACCGGGTAGTCCATGCGGCCACCACTGTCACCGAGGTGTCCGCCGTGAACATCCCTGCCAACCCTGGCGCACCGCGCTACCGTGCCATCAACGTGGACGCCATCACCGTGGATACGAACCTGAGCGGCCAGTGCGGCAGCGCCGTGCTTGCGTCGGACGACGGCACCGTGCGCGCGCTCTGGCTGACGTACCTGGGCGAGCGCTCACCGTCGACGCATCGCGACGAGGAGTACCACCTGGGTCTGGCCACGCCGACCCTGCTGCCCGTGATCGAGCAGATCCAGCGCGGCGTCGTGCCCAAGCTGCGCATGCTTCCCGTCGAGTTCCGTGCCATCCAGATGCTGCAGGCGCGCCTGATGGGTGTGTCCGAAGAATGGATCCAGAAGGTGTCGGCCGCCAACACGGCGCGGCATCAGCTGTTCATGGTGACCAAGCGCACCTTTGAGCGCACCTTTGACAAGGGCCAGAACGGGTCCATTGGCCTGAAGGAGGGCGACATTCTGCTGACGCTCAACGGCCGCCTGATTACCCGTATCTCGGAGCTCGACATTATGTACAACCACGAGGTGCTCGACGCCACGATTGTGCGTGGCTGCCAGGAGATCAAGCTCGACCTCCTGACCGTCGCCGCGGACGACCACGAGACCGACCGCGCCGTGTCGTTTTGCGGCGCCGTCCTGCACCGCCCGCACCATGCCGTGCGCCAGCAGATCAGCAAGCTGTTTAGTGAGGTGTACGTGTCGGCGCGTACGCGCGGCTCGCCGTCGTACCAGTACGGCCTGGCGCCCACCAACTTTATCACGCACGTCAACGGCAAGCCGACGCCCGACCTGGACGCCTTTTTGGCGGCCGTCAAGCAGATTCCGGACAATACTTGTGAGTACCCCCCCTCCCTCCCCCCCATTTGGTGAAGCCCTCTTTGTTGTGTGGTGTTTTCACTAACACGCCTAGACTTCCGCCTCAAGGCTATGACCTTTGACAGCGTGCCGTGGGTGGCCACCATGAAGAAAAACGAACACTACTTCCCTACCGTCGAGTGGATCAAGGATAAGAGGGAGCCCTGCGGCTGGCACCGCGTCACGTACGAGGGCGGCGGCAAGGTCGTCGACGGCGAGCCTGCCGAGGGTGTCCTTGTGCCGGCTGTCGAGGACAACGGCGACATTGGGGTGGCCGCGCCGGCCGAATAATGGGATCCATGTATCACAACTTATGTCTTTCTATGCTCTCATATCTGTTCTATTTTGCTTCTGTTTTTTTTTCTTCTTTTTCTCACGGCTGTATTTCCAACTACCCTTGACATGTTTGGTACGATATTGTTAGGTAAAAACAATGGATGGGACCGGAATTTTTGAAAAGTGTGTATTAAATGAAAATAGTGACAAAGTAAACAATGTTTGTGGATGTGAGGTGATGACTCTTGCATATATTCTTTCTTTTCTTTCCCTTTCTTTTATTTAGACCGTGATCTGATTCTTTTCTTCCCTAATTTCGTCACTGGTTTTGCTTGACCGGGCATTTGTCGCATTATATTCTAGATCAAAAAGACACCACTCTTGCCTTTGCCCATGATCGGCTGGTGAAAAGAAGTATACTATTCATAAGGACCTTCAGTTGTTCTTCGGAAGACTACCGATTGCTCTATCGCTTGTTGACTTGACTTTGCGTTCTTGCACTCACAGCGTTATGCACGGTATTGTGTGTGTGGCTTGTGACTTGTGGCTTGTGGATTATGGCTTATGGATTGTGGCGTGGGTGTGGAGAACAATGACCCAGTTGCCGCACTTACCCAAAACAGCAATCACAATCAAAACAAACAGTTCAAGGCCCCAGCTCCACCGTTCCTTGCTTGCCGGCGTCTGGCTCTTGCCTGTTTCTTTACGTTTTTGCCCTCTTGCCCTCTTGCCCACTTGCCCTCTTGCCCATTGTACCTTTCTGCCCCCTCCCCTTGGAACGTCGATTCTCGTTTTCCCTCTTCTCTTTCCAATTCACGACAAAGTCAACATCGACAATCATCGACCACCACTGACCCTCGATTCCTTTCTCGACACGAATCGACTCCCATTTTTCACCATCCCTCTTATTCGCGTTTTCTTTCATTCCCGATTGTATTTCGGTTCGCCGCGCCTTTTCGCCCGCCATGGCGATGAGAGGACCGCGTCACCCCATCGGGGCGGCGCCCTGGATCGCAGAGGAGCGGACAACGGCTCTGCACATTGCCCAGTCGGAGGTGGAGGAGTTTATGTTCTCGGCCAAGAACGAGCTGGACTGGCTCAATGAGCACATGGCCGAGATCTTTTCGGAGAACCAAATGTGCGTTCGCTGCCGGGTAGAAGTGGATTGGAGTGATGGGTTGGAGATTTCTAACGCGCGTCTTCTTAGAAATGTCGCCGACATCTTCAAGACGCCCGGCAAGTTACGCGGAAAGACGCCGCGCACAGCACGCAAAGCCAACAAGGCAGACATCCGGGCGGTGAGTTTGATATCTGCACTTTATTGATATACAGCTTCTATGAGTGCAAAAGAAACGCGACTGACAGTTGGAAAAGCCATTAACCGACGTCTTTTCATCTACACCCAAGGGCGCCCCGAATCCTTTTGCCGTTTCCAAACTCACATCGATCCAGCAGCAACAACGACGCCAATCACCTACATTCACAGTCGCCGAGGACAAGCCCGCGCCACCCCGGAAGAGCCCGCGCCCGAGCCCACAACGCGTTGTCCCTGCCAAGACAGCCGCCGCTGCAACGGCAAAGGCGAAGACAGTGGTAGCGTCAGATCAGAACACGAAGAAGGCAACATCCAGAACTGTCGCACCCGTTGCTGCTAAACCAACAAAGGCAGCATCCTCGCTTATTGACTCTGGATATCATGGAAGTCAATCGCAGGACGTGGCCTTTGGCTACGATGATGACGAAGACGAACTGGCCGGTGATGACATGTCTACCCAGCCCTTCTCACAACCGACACGTCCCGCGACGCCGGAAGTCATCGTTCGCAAGCCCGTTCCTGCCAAGGTATTGGATAAGCAGAAGGGGGCAGCCACAACAACGACCGCGGCAGCATCAGCAGCAGACTTGGCCATGTCTCCCGATGTAATGGCAGACCACCCAAGCCCAACACAGCCCACCGTGGAACCCACTTTCCACTCGGCCAAGGAAGAACAGACGGCAGTGATGGCCCCAACCGCTCCGCCTGCCGACAAACCTGGGTCTCCGTCTCCCGATACCGAGGTTTTGTCATCCTCTCCATTCTGCCCTGTCGAGTCGCCTTCGTCTGCGCGGCCGACCAAGGCCGCGTCCCCGGTAAAGGCGCCACCCGTCGCGTCACCGACACGGAAACCCGTTCCTGCCCCTTCATCCCCCCTCCAGTCAACTACACCTGCCTGCCCACCGCCTCGTGAGCTTCTATCCGCGATGGGTGCTTCTGCACCCACTGCCTCAGTCGCATCACCGGCACAGGCCTTCGTGAATGTCCCACCGGCTGTTCCCACCCCGCCAATGGCATCTGTACCGGCCTTCATTGCAGAGAAGCGTGCTGCTATTGCTTCGTCCTGGCAATATAAAGAGGGGGCTGGGAAGGAAGTCGAGGACGTTGTTGTTTACGAGGAGGAAGCACATGACGATATGGTTGAGGACAATGCCGTCGCTGAGGAGGGTGTTCTCCAGCCACAAAAGGAACAGGAACAGGAACGGGAGCAGGAGCAGGAGCAGGAGCAGGATGAGGAAGAAGTTAAGGAGGAGACTGCAGCGCGTTCTCCTTCAGACCCGTCTAGCCCTGTTCGGCCGATGGTTCGCAAGAGCAGCATGAACTTCGCTTCTCTCCCTGCACGTGCTCCCTTCACCTCGAACAAGAGCCTTGGAGGTGCTGGGGCAGGATTGGCTCGCGTTGACCAGGCGCGGACGAGCTATTATAACCGTCCCACCGGTGGTAAGAGTATTGGAAACGTGCGGATGGAGAACGACGATGACCAGGATGACGAAAGGAACGCCGGTGTGAACAATGAAGCCTCTGGCGAAAAGGACATGGCGGCACAAAACAAGACGTATGCTCAGCGACTCCACGATCGGATCAGCATGCTGGGCAAGTCACAGGCTAATGCGCCGCGTCCTTCCAAATCTCTGGCCGCCCTTGCCCACCACCAGGAGACGAAGGCCCAGCAGCAAAAGTCGCTGTCTCCGAAGAGAACTGCTACTTCAGTTGCCGCACCTGGTGCATTCCCCGAAGACGAGGAAGATGACGATGACGACTGGATTGTCCCTCCTGCAAACGCTGCGGCGGCCAGTACGAGCCCTGCGAAGACCCACGCCATCGTTCCCTCGCCCACGACAGAGGGCCCTGATACTCCCGGTGCCCAGACCGAATTTGTACTTCCGAAGCAGCGCCTGCAAGATGTGTCTCGGCTTGCATCGCCTAAGAGGGTGCAAGCACCAATCATTCCTGAAAGAACAACCAGCACAGTCACCGGCCACATGAAGTCAGTTTCTGTGCCCTCGCTCCCAGTGTCTGATTCATCGGCTCTTATTACGACAAAGCCTATCTCGGTCTCCAATCCTGCCAATGCCGCCCACGTTGTTCTTGGCGCAGTTTCTGAACTGCAGGACAGGCCACCGTCGCCATCCAAATCCCCGTCGCGCAACTACCGCGACAGTCCTCTCAAGCAGGTTAAGAACAAACTGTCTTCCATTCTTAAAACGTCCAAAGGTCTTCTTGCTAGCAGCGCGGCATTGAGTGCCGAGGGCAAGTCCTCACTGCTTTCTCCGCCATCGACTCGTCTTGGGCTTCTTATGGGCCCGTCAACCGACAGCCTCACCTTCAAGTCTCGCAATGACAGCACGGCAGACCTTGCGCGCCCTGATCTTTCCCGGCAGACGTCAGCCACCACCACCGTGTCGACGACGTCGTCTGCCTCAGCAGCTTCGGCCGCCTCGGCCGCCTCAGATGTGCCGTCGAACCAGGAATCACCTGCGCGTCCTGAGAAGTCACCAGTTCGTTCTGAGAGTCCGACGCGACCGCGCAAGACTCGTGCTTCTACAGAAAGAGAGCGCCGCGAGATGAAGCATCGCGAGAAGGAGCTCAAAGAGGTGCAGCGGATGGCCGAGCAGATGGGCAAATTGGAGAAGATGCGTGAGAAGGAGCGCGAGAAGGCTCGTGTGTTTGTGGAGGAGCAAGAAAAAGCCGCCGCTACTGTAGAGAAGCCTGCGCAGACGCCTGCGCAAAGAGAGCTGAGAGGTCACAAGCAGCCACGACCGCAGCAGCAGCCGAAGTCACAGCCACAGCCGGTGGCCGACAGGGACGACGACATGGACGAGCTGTCTCAGCAGCCTCCGCCGAAGCCTAAGCCAGAGTCGAGCTCTCCAAGTCGTGTGGCAGCGAAGCCTACCCGGACAAGTCCACGCAAAGCCAAACAGCAGCAGGCTGACAACGATGTGGACATGGCCGATGCTCCTGCTAGCATGCTCCCGCCTGCTCCTCCTGCCCACAGCACAGTTACTGCGAACTCGTCGGTTCCCCGGTCGGCACAAAGTACTCGAGCCATCCGGCGCCCGATCAAGCCAACCAAGGATGCTCCCTCCAAGACGAAGCAAGCCCCTACGGTCATCCGTGTCAACACATCCAGCTCACAGCAGCACCAGCAGCAGTCTTCGCAGTTCCACCCTTCCAACAGCATTCTTGCTGCATCCCTGCACGAGACTCTTGTCGGCCCGCCACAGCTGAAGAACAAGGCTAGTACCGCATCTCTCCACACGAAGCCATCCTTGCAGAGTCTCAAGAGCTCTGTTTCTTCGACGGGTCGCCCCAAGGCTCTGGAGCTAGCTGCCAAGCGCAAGGAGGTTGAGGAGCGGGAGGCACAACGGAAGCGTGATGCGAAGGCGGAGATAGAGCGGAAACGGGCTGCTCTGCAAGAGCAAGAGGAGCAGCGGAAGCAGGAGCTACAGAAGCAGAGAGAGCGGGAACGCGAACGCGAGCAGGCGGCGGCTGAGGCGGCCGCCGCCAAGAAGCGGCAAGCGGCCATTGAGAAGGCCAAGCAGACACGGGCGCCACCTCCTGTGCAGCGTACGCAGCTGCCCAGCGGGCCCTCGACTGACCACGGAAGAAGCGAAGCTCAGCCTCCCCGGCCGCAGTCTCGCCTGGCTACGGCGACTGGCACAAGCATGCACCGCTCTCAGGAGGAGCAGCATCGGCCGGTCAATGCTGTGCTTTCCCATACAGGCAAGGCACTGTCGAAGCGGCCTCTTCCTGGTACCGACACCTACGAAAGTCAAAACCACGGTCGTCCGGGTACCGCTGGCGGCAACGGCGGTGGTGGCAACATGCCATCGTACCAGCACAAGGATGCGAAGCGAATCCGGATGAGTGAAGAGTTCGACGAGGACGAGCTGGAGATGGGCGGCCATGCGGTGCGCGTCTCCAGCATCAAAGGCCCGCCGATCCGCCCTTCACAAGGTTTCAAGAAGGTTTGTTTCTTTCTACCTCGCTGCCATTCTTGCCTTTGCTTTTTCTTTTTCTTTTTCTGTTTTGTTTCTAACAAGCTTATAGGACCTGCCGAACAAACCAGTCTTTGGTAACGGCTACCCTACGGCACAGACGAATGTGTCGCGTGATCTCTTCAAATCCACGGTCACCGCGCAGCATAACTACCAGACCAAGACGGCTCACCCAATGGACATGGCACAGGTGTCCAAGGCAGCGATCTCCTTTGCTCCTAGTGGCAATGGCGCGACTTCGGCTGCTGCGGCAGTGGCAGTGGCAGCAGCCTCGCAAGGCACGCACAAGACACCACTACGGCCGGCTGGCGCACCGCAGGCAGGAAAGTCGACGGCGAAATCGGCCGCCAAGTCTGTCGGCAAGTCTGCGGCGAAGTCTTCGCCCCGCTTCCCGAACGGTGACGCCATTGAGCTGCCTGACATCCAGACCGATGACGAAGACAGCGAGGAGGAGGTTGTTAACGCGGCGCCGTGGGCAGACTCGCCGGATCTGCGCCGGGCACTCATGCGGCAGGAGACGGTCGATCCCTTCCAGGTGTTCGGCCCGCCTGGTCCCCTTAACATGGAAGAGGTGTTCAACAAGAGCAAGGACCGTTGGCACAAGTTCCGTGCGCGTGGCAGCAGTGCCAACTGGAGCGGTATCGACCGTCTCACAGAGGACGACATTAGGAAAGATCTTGCTGCACGCGACAAGATTCGTCGTGAGGGCGGCTGGTCCTATGAGCTGGGCAAGGATATGTTGTAAGGCGAGTGTGTCGTACTCGCAGACGAGGGTGTGATTGTATGAGGCGAAGGACGGCAGCAGCTGCTGGGCAAAATTGGCACAAGGTTAGGCGTTTGTTTGGGTTGCATTTTGTCAGGGTTTTTTTGCTTGTATTTTATTTTGATATATTTACCTGGTTGTGCCGCCCATTACACAGTTTGGTTATCAAGAGGCCCGTGTCGGCGCGAGGCACTGGCATTCGTTGTTATTCCATAGGGGCCAATATGGACAGCAGAGTGTCCACCATGCTCTTTGAATACAGGCACATGGCGTCGCAAAGAGAAAGGAGTTTCAGTCTTCATGAATGTCCCAAATGATGAGAGGCTTTGGTCTTGGATGCAGACCCATTGAAAGAAAACTCTCAAAAAAGGCCGACGACGAGCTGGACAAAGTCGTACGGGAATTCCTCTGGATCGGCTCCTCCTATTGTGGCAGTTATTGGGAGGGTATTGTTTAGGCGACCAGGCGGTCTGGGCCTCCCTTCTGGTCACTACGTCATAACCTCACTTTCCCCTATGCATCATGACGGAGCCAAGTACAAGAGGGCACAGCGACAGACGGCAGCAGAAAGGTTCGGCGAACAAGACGGACTGACGCCTGCCCGACATCCAAGCTTTTGGAACCGGCTTGGGCTTGGCGACAAAAGGCGGCTTTGGCTGCAGTAGTACAGTGGGGAGAGCCAACACCAAGAGGCGCACGTGAAAGAAACGCACAGGAGAGTGTACGGCCACGAGCCGCTGTGGCCCCTGTTTTGTTGACGCACAGCGGCGAAGCTCAGCGGCGATGCAAAACAAGAAAAGACAGCATTGAGAAGAGAGCAGCGTCCGTCTGGACCTGCTGATTTCTCTCTCTCTTTTTTCTCTTCTTTTTTTTTCTGGCCCCTTCGTCTTTCATTGCATTTTGACAACCGGGACTCACCCGTCGCCGAAGCGGGGATTGATCGTTGCTTCAATTTTCTGATGTCGGAGGCGGAGAGAAGCAGATGTCAATAGAGCCAAGCACAATTGCAGTCTGGTGCCCCACACAGCCATGAACCACAGGGCTTGCCCGAGGACGGCCAGCGGCTAGGATCTAGGTGTGGGGTCATTTGTTTTGGTGCCTCCCCAGTGAGCCAGCGTAGCAGCCTCGAGGATCAAGAAGGTTGTCGCGTTTTCAGGCGACGCTGAGGCCTGGCTCAGGTTGGGCTGAGGCGAACAAAGAGGGCCCCAAAACAAAAGCCCGAGAATTATTCGAGAACAAACAAAGGAGAAAGGATAAACACCCCTCTTTCTACGCTGTGCCTTTTTTCTCGTCGACGCAGAACACCGCCACGGAGTGCCCGTTTGCGTCTTTAAGATTGAGAAGAGGAAAAAAGACAAGAAAAAAAACAACAAAAAAAACATCGATTCTCACGAACAAAGCATTGCAAAGTTGGGAGGAACAGCGACCAACGGCGCTGCCGAGACAGAATCTTGCACGCTTCCCAAACTACGGCGACAGTGAGGCTGACAGGTCGAACCTTCCTGAGCGTCCTTCCTGCGTACCTGCGGCCTGGCGTGCACTTGCCTGCTGACTACCTATTGCGTTCCTTCCTCAACATTTACGACATATTTCTCGTGGTTGATCGCGGACTTGCATTTTGGCTGCTCTTTTCCCACGACATCCTCCTCCAGCGTTGTCGTTCTCACTTGTTCATGCCGCCATACCAAAACACAAGCCCGGACAGAAACACATACCGGTAAGCAAAAGCTCGCACCAACCACGCAGTCACTCTGCGGCTGCGTTTCATTTGTCTATTTCACTAGACAAATGAGGGTCTGCATATCTCCTCTGCCCTGTCTTCCCTCGTTCTGAGCATATTTCACCTCGACACGGAATACCTCGCTTTCGTCACTGGCCGCAGGCCCAACTTGTACCCGTCCTCCCACACTTTCCTCGCCCCTAAACACAGCTCCCTTGCCCTCTATTTACTTACCCTTTGTCTTTGTCCTGCAATACACCGTATTTCCTTCTTACCAAACGGAACGACGGCTCGCGCTCGCTTTCGGCAAGGATTGCACACACCTTGTTCCTGTCACTCTATTTTCGCGCTGCAGAGCTTCTTCTTCCCATACGCAGCCTTGCTGTTGGGATCTTTGTGTTTCTTTGTGCTTTGTGGTGTGTTGTGTTGCTATCCCGAACCAAATACTGACCGCCCGTGGCAGCTAAAAAGCAAGGCTGGCCACTACAACACGACTAGCTCCAGCCCACTTTTGACGCTGTGACGACCTCCGTTAGATATTGATCTTGTTTTCAACCTCGCAAGACTGCTCATACGATTTCTTTCTATCCCCACTGACCACGACGCCTCTTCTGTCCCAAGCAAACGCGACACGGCCGCATGAACGACACGACTCCTACGACCAGCGCGACGCATTTTGACGCGAGAAGGCGAGCTAAATTGCCGCAAAGACGGCTTCGCAGCAGAAGAGTCCATACAAGAAAGAAACGAGTCCGAGCGAGAAGCCAGAGACAAGTTTTCTGCTCTCTGCTGCAGTAGCAGCGGCACACTACCGCTGCCATGGCGAAAGCAGACTACAGTAGGGACTACTATGCCGACTTGGAGCTTCCTGCATCGGCGGATGTCAACGAGATCAAGAAGCAGTTTCGAAAGCTTGGTGCGTTTGTCCTCTGCGCCTGACCTGCACACTCTCCTCCTCGTGCAACGCCGAGAATACTGAAAACTGAAAACTGACGCGTCCTCTTTCTTGCTTTTTAGCTTTAAAATACCACCCGGACCGCAATCCGGGCAAGGAGGCCGAAGTCAACGCCAAGTTCCAAACCATCCAAGCCGCCCACGAGATCTTGACCAGCCCCGAACAAAAGTCCAAGTACGACAGCCACCGCAGTCGAAATACCTCCCGCTACCCAGCCGCCTCGGGCGTTCGGGGCAACCCGTGGCAGGATGTCTCGTCCCAATACCCCGTGCCACCCCGTAGGCCTGGCCAGGCCCCGACCTCGGCCGCGCGCAACACCCATGCGTCGTCGTCGGGGCAATCCTCCTCCTCAGCCTCGTCTTCACATCGCTATTCTAGCTTCAACGTCCCGCCGTCTGCAAAGACCAGCAAGGAAGACCTCGACTCAAGATACAATGCGTGGAAGAACATGCGGCCAAATGCAGCTAAGGGCCGCCCTGGCCAAAGTGCCAGCGCCGCATATGCTGCTGCCAATTCCGGGTCGGCCGCCAACACGAGCAGAAAGGCAAACGCAAATCCTGCCTCGTCTTCTATGCCACCACCGCCTCCACCTCATCCCCCCCAGCCCCAGACACCGATGCCCGCACGCACGGCTTCGCAAAGGCAGAAGGCGAACGCTTCGTTTGGTACCAGTACCAGGCGACCCACGGGCTTCCACCCGCAGTCACAGATGGGCGACGAACCGCCAGCTGCAAACACGAACAACTACTTTACCAATCGGACACACACGAGCCGGGGATACTTTTTCGGCGAGCAGCCAGATCCGTCGTCAGGCACCGACCATCCTACCCCCGAGCCGCGAAGAGCATCCGCCTCGGCTGCACCAGAGCCAGCGAAGCCGGAGCCCCGGAACCTGTCCGACGAGTCTCTATTTGACTCTCGCCAGAGCACACCATATCAAACCCACGGCGGCGAGAAGTTCAATCCGTTTGACGGTGTACGTATGACGGCGGATCTGAACCGGACGAAGAGCTACCGCTCCGTCAACCCGCAGGCAGCAAGACCCGACTTTCGCCGCCGCAGCTCAAGTCTTCCCGACGAATCAGACAATGCCACCAAGGCTGCGGCCTCTGCGAAGAAGAGAGCAGCCGGCAGCGGAACAGGTGCGACGACATCGGCGGCAGCTGCTGGTGTGGCGGCTGGGGTTGCGGCAGGGGTCGCATATGAGGCAGCAGCGGCCTCGCACTCGCCTTCTGCCAATAGCGCCAATACTGGTGTTCCTCGGTCGAGCGCCCGGTCACGGCCAGGCCCCACATCAAAGGCATCTCGTCCCGCGACGTCTTCACAGATGCCCCAGTTCGAGGAGCAATACCAGAGAATGCAGGGGGACCAACAGCAGCAACAGCAGCAACAACAAGAACAACAGGAACAACGGTCCAATCACTTTGCGTCGGTTAACAACAATGCCGCACAAAACACTGGTGAGTTGCAGTCACACCTCCATACCCCCCTCAGAGCCGCTTTCCAGGGAACTAACATGTGCTTTCCTTTGAACAGGCAACCCACAGAACATCAACACCCCGCAGAACGACAAAAGCAAACCTATTTTGTATGCCACCCCTCCTTTCTCCCAGGACCCCAAGCAAGCATCGTATATGTCAGCAAGAAACGTACCTAGCAGGGCATGCAGTGATGGAATTGCCAATGCCCAGCGGCAAGTGGCATCCAGAAAGCATATAATGAGCTGGTTTCATTGCAACAGCCACACACCTCCTGAATCTGACTGGCCTGAGCCGAAGCGGCGAACCTCTCACTCTACGGAGTCTTCCAGTGGAGACCCGAGCAAGAACGACAGCAAATCCTTCAACAGTGGCTACATGGCAGGCTTGAACGCTTTTGAAGCAAAACAATTCAACATTATTCAAGGCCTCGTCGACAACGTCGAGGTGTACAAGCCTTCGCCCCGAGACTCCAAGTCCGAGTCCAAGGCCGGCCATGCGAAGTCGGCAGGCCATGCAGTAGCGAGAAAAGCGGCAGCAGTGGGCAGGGAATATAGAAAGCCGGAGGATGGCAGCCGCACCCGAATTTTGAATGGACCTGTCCCAAGCTGCAGTCTCCCCCAAGTCCAAATTTTCACCAGTGAACTTTATCGTCCCAGTCATGCTAACGGTGCAACCCGTACTTTCAGCTCCAACCTTTCCCTCGACGACGACGTTTTCAGTGTGCCTAGTACACCGTCCGACCAAGAGCGGACCAATCCGTTCACGCGCAGTAGTGTCGAAGATATCAATACGCGCTTTGTCTCAGGCGAGAAGGCCAATGCAGCCTGGGCATTTAGCGCCGGAGGCAGCGAGGGCGAGTCTTACGGAGATTTCCCGTCGCGGGTCCGCCGCTCGCAGTCCGGCAGCCGCCTTGGCCGGCGGTCGCCCGGAAAAGGTAACTCGATTCCGAAGCCAGATGGTAGCGCACCCCAACCGCCTCCCCCACCCCCACGGCCACAACAGGTCCCTACGTCACAGGACCCAAGCCCGGTGTCTTCCACCATTGGCACGGCCGATGGGGACTCTGGCAAGACGAACGAGGCCACCACTGGTACCAAAGGCAATACGACAACGACGACCAACTACTTCAACGCCGGACGATGGGCCGAGCAGATTGGCTCGGAACACTTTGTACCATGGACTGCACAGCAGCCGCCCAACCTGCCGCCGCGGCAGTCCACCCCCACTCAGCAACGGGCGCGTCCTATCAAGAAGCCCAAACCGATTCAGCGGTCCAACACGACTGCGCCTCGCGAATACATTGTCATTCCTGACGACGACGACGATGAAGAGGGCGGCGGGTCCACAGCGGAAAATGACACAGGCCCTAAGACCCAGCAGCAGAGCCAACAGCAGCCTATTGAAGTAGAGGCAGACGTCAGTGGCTTTGCCAGTCCGACCGCCATGGACATTGACTCTCCCCCGGCAACGGAAGATACCTTTAATGAGGCAGGTCCTGGGGATCGGAGATCGGGAGTCGCGTCGTCGGGGACCGATACGGCTGGAGGTGCTCCTCTCTCGAGCCCTGACCCGCACATGGAAGGCGCCCGGAAAATTCCTGTGGAGCCTACACGTCCCGAATGGAGGGCGGGGGATGTGAACAAGCCTGGCACCGCTTCAACAGCTGCTGCTGCTGCTAATGCCGCCGCAGCCAGTGCTGGCACAGCCTCCGCCCCGAGGCCAGTCCCGAACGCTGGCGCCGACTACGTTCGTGGCTCTGAAGATTCTGAGGAGTTCCGCGCGACGTTGTCGGATATTCACAAAGTTGAGCCGTTTGCTGAAAATGCGCCAGGCATCCAGGGCTATGCCGGGACGGGTCTCGGATCCTTTGGCGACCTCCAAAGCAACTTGCCATTTGAGAGCAAGGCGGCGTCGGCCGCGGTTCCGGTTCCTCCCTCCTCGATGCAGGGCGGCGGCAGCAGCGCCGCACGCGTTGCTCGTAGCCGCAGCCGATCTCGCAGAAACATTACGTTCCCCAAAGCGCCCGTCGCACCGCACCCGCCGGCCGCCTTGGGCGTGCCCGGCCTGCATCCGTCGGCCGCGGCGTGGGACAAATACGTGACCGAATTCCGCCACTACATGCTTGAGTGGACCGCCTTCAATAGCTTGTATGTCGACCACTTCCAGGCGCGTCGCCACGACATTGAGACGCGTGACGGCGATTTCGGCTGGCTCGATTCCGCAGACGGCGACAACGACGGCATCAACCGCTACCTGGACTGGATGGAGCAAGACGCAGAAGTGCGCGCGGTGTGGTCGGTGTCGTGCTCCAACCACGACATGGACGTTCGCAAGTTCATGGCCTACCGTGAACGGATGCGGCTGGCATGAGCGGAGGCTGCCATGCCACTTGGGCCACGTTCTTCATGTTGATCTTGCTTTTTCGTGAGCCTGTGTTGTTATATTGATGCATTTTCGCCTCATCTTACTCAATTTTTAATTGCTTCCCTCCTCCGTTTCATGTGAGCTTGCGTTCGTTTGTTACTACTCATACGTTGGTCGGAGCAGTGGATGAATACCCATTTCCCCTCTTTGTTTGCGTTTTGATGCCCAACATCTAGCTCTGCCATGTGTTTTTGATACGGCGGAGGCGGTTGGGACGGATGCCTGGTTTGTTTTTCCAGTACCTCTTGGCAAGCCGTTTGCGCAATTGGGAGGTAAAGACAGTCGTTTTGTACAGCCACACGATAGATTCACTTTTGCGAGCGATAAGAGTATCGACTATCATGTTGGTTTCAGCTTCTTCTTTTGCATGTGACGCGGCACGATGAGGCCTATGAAGGCTTCAGTATTGGCCTTTCTCATCCCGTATCTCGGCTTTTCACAACCCGAAGAAACAGGACTCGGCGCATTTTCAGAAGAAGTCGCTCACGATTGTTGTCCTGCAGCCACGTGTGTAATTAACATGTGCCCCCCATGCGCTGCGACCCATACCATCCAAGCCTTCGCAAACGATACAAGACCCTCTGGTTCCTGTTCTTGTCGCGTTGTCGTCCAAAGTCGTTCTCGACATAGAATCTTGTAATATGACCCGCAAGATAACAACAGCTCATCCCGTACCCACTAAGGCCATGGAGGGCAGCTCTTGGTGGACCTGCCGAGGACGCCAAGCAGGCGTAGTGAGACTGAGGAAAGAGGCCAGATGCCCAACAAGGTTGGGTGCCGCTTCAGCAGACGGAGATCAGACAAGACTATGGACTATGAAGCTGGAATAAAAGTTGGACAGATCACGGCCGAACCGCTGAATAGGCCCTGGCCAGGCTCCTTCCTATTTGGGGAGCTCATAACCTCCCTATTTGTACGGCATACTTATCAGCTTGGGGCATGCTTGTCCTGCGTTGGCGAGGAGGAGGAGCAATTTCCCTCAGGCAGCATTCTTTGCCCACCATTTTCTACTTTGTAGTTGCACTACTGCGCTACGTACAGCAGTCGAGAAGGGTAGGATGCGCGGAAGACAAAAGAGAAGAAATAGTGCGGCGTATGAGGGAAATGAGGGACGAGAAAAAGGCTCAAGCAATGGGGACACAAGTGACAGGAGGAGACATGTGATTGCCGGTCCTTTTTTCCAAATCGTTCTAGAAAGATTCCTTTTCCTTCGCCTGCAGGGTAAAAGCCGGGACGGGGATGAGTTGTGTAGTGCTTATTCACAGAAGATGGTTCTTTCTACAGCACGAGGCGAGGAAACGAAAATATAAAAATGGGACAGAGGCTATGGAAGGTTGGGAAACCGGCAGCAAGGAGGGACGTGTTAGCTACTTCGTCCCGGGACGCCTCCGAGCGCAACGAGGAACTTCCGTGTCATCTTGCCTTCTCACGGTTTCAACTCTGCTACGGTACGCTACCAGTAACACGGACAGATCAGTCCCACCATGTGGTGAAGGGTGATGACCGTCTTTTTCTCTACACCATCAGCAGCCTGTTCCCAAGCTGTGACCAGGATATAAAAATAGTTCGCCCTTCTATGCCGGTTCTAAAAGGAGTTGAGGAGGCTTTTCCCGTCTTCCTTCTCTTTTGGGCGCTAAAAGTGTTGTCGACTTGATTCATACTCGGGCAGACTTGAGGGTCACTGTAACAGTCAACTATTATGAGACGCTCGAGTTCGTAAACTTACATCATCTTATAGCCACTGCATGCAAAGACCTACCAGTTGCGGTGTCTGTCAGAAGGTCACTGCTGTTGAGCATTTGACATCTGCTCATGTCACATCTCGGTCTAATGGCCAGCGCCCGAAAAGGGACGAATCCCGGACGATCAGTTACTGACACGCAAATGAACCTGTTACCGTCTATGACGATTCTCGGTTCGCGATTTAGGCAGTTATCTGAATTCGAGAGCGTGTCGCCTGTACGTGAAAACCGGTATCTGGTTCCCGACGTTGAGACGGTCAGGCGGCGATCATCGTCTGGTCTGGAGTTCGCCTCGAAGAGTTTGCACACCACTCACTGCCCAATAGACGCATCCCTTCTTCCCGACACGAGCGTGATTGTCTCATGGCATGGAACCCTCCGGACCGCATGTACATGCGGGGCTGCGAACGTATTCTGAAAACTAAGCCGCAGTTTCTAGGCCTTTCGTGTTTGTGCCCGGGCTTCTTTTGCTTCCAACATCTTGGTGCAAAACCCGTAAACCAAACCGTAACGTAAGTCGGACAAAATCACGGGTCTTTATTTACATAATTTCCCATGCTTGCCTGCCCATACTCGCGGGAGGACAACATCTCTCTCTCCTGCGTGCTTACCCCGGTGCGCGGTTGCCAGAGGGTTTTCCTGTTGCATGTCGTTGTTCTGTTCTTGTAAAACCGTCCGTGCATATTTTCCCATCCGACTCTGCGTTGGATATCCTCGGCAACTTTCTGCGGTTTTATCGTCCCCGTCGTTTGTGATAGCGGGCGACCCATACCATGGTTGCAATATCCTTCGGATTGGATGGGAGTATTGCCCAGTTACGCTGTGTGCAGGCAGGTAATTACTCCTTTTTGTTAAATCATCCCCCTGGGTACTTTTTGTTTTTCTCGGTATGCAGCATTATTGACTGTGCCTGCTTTAGACGCAACCCCCGGTTTCAGGACGAAAAGAAGGAAATGCTCGTCGATGAGACATGAAAAGAAAACAGAAGCTGCATACGACGTCGGCAAGCACAGAAAACGGGTTTGCTTTCCCTCACGACTCCACCCACCACCGGACGTTTTGAGCCCCTTTCTGTTCCCCCTTGAGCCGCCCTGTCCTGCACGCGAACGACACGTGGAAAATGAAGGGGAGGGTATCACGGAACCAAGAAATAGGAAATGAACGAGGGACGGCAACTCGGCAGTCCCAAACCACAACGTATACGTAATTACTCCGTACTTTTTCGTATTATTGTTGAATTCCCATTGAAACGTTCGATCGGGGATGAACACGTAGGATTGTGATCCGTCAACACAGTGAGCGTCACTACCAAAAGGGCGGTGCGAGAGTTTGAAAATGAAAACAAAAGAGAGCCAAGCAAGCCGAGCGAGCCTGAAAGCCAGAGAACAGGGCTCCCAGAAAGCCAGAATGGACGCTGGCCACGCGAGGGAAGCAGGGTTGTGCGTACGATGCATATAATTCAAGTCAAGTGAGATACGTCGTAAGCACTGGCTGTGATGCAAATCCTTCCGTATTCTGTGATACGTTTCTGTCGGTGTTTTTAGCCCCCTATTACGCTCCAGCTGAAAATCGCGTGATGGATGGCAATATCAAGAAGCGCGGGCCACTGGGTGACCTGCTACCGCCAACCTCGAAGCTCCATTCGTGCTCTTGCCGTCGCTTAGCAACAATGCTCAATCAACGAAATGGGCGGTTTTGCTTCTCATCTCTCTCCCCCGTCTGTGCTCTCCTCCTCACCCACTCCCCAATCTCTGACACTCTCCTCTCGACGCAAACTGCACCCTCGTTTGATTCGGACCTCAGCCCCTGTCCAGAAACGTCAACGGATGTGGAGCACTTGAGCACTTGAGCACTTGAGGAGCAGTACCTCACAAGTCGTTTTGGTTCTCTCTTCCTCTTTCGCTGCTGTTTGACAAGGGGGTTAGTTACTAGGTCGCTTTCTGGCATCTCCAACTCTGATATTTCCTTCACCGGTGGTCCACAAAAAGTAGTCATGGGGAGTTTGGCGGGTTCATCAGTGTTGCACTCGCAGCAGGTTCGCGCAGTATTGCAGAGTATTAATTGCATATTTTGGTGTATCCTTGTTCCGTTGGTCTTTTCAGGACACCCCTGCCACCAAAACCATGAGCAGGGGCGCCATGTGCGCGACGCCATTCCATCTTTGGCGTGGCCAGGATTTGTCTGAACCAGGGACAAAATTCGAAAGCTGTTGAAATGGGACGTGAAGTATTTTGAAATTCGAATCATGCAGCAAAGGAGACAATGGGCGGTGGACGTAGTTAACCTGGCTGCATGGTTACTGATACGGTCGGGCACGAGATTTGAAGCTTCTTGTGCCGTTGGTGTCTTTACTACGAACACCTCCTCGTCGAACTCCGTCCATAAGGACAAAAGTACTGCACCTTGCGCTACTGTCATTGATGTGGAATGTGGGCAACTTTAAGGGATACATACGGGCACGCCCGTGTTAGTGGTCTTGGGCCCACTGCATGTTGGTCAGCCCCAACACCACTTCTCCCTTCACGATGTCTTCCAAGTCGATGTCGTGGATTGGGCTCGCCCAGCCTCTTAGGTATTGATCGGAAACATCAGCATGGCCTTTTTGTTTGTGACCAGAGCGGGAACGTCCAGGTTTGCCGCTTCTCTTGTTTGAGAGCGGACGGGGAGAGTCTCTTTGCCAGCCTCCATTCCAAGAGGGGAGGTGATTTCGCGAATCAGAGCGCCAGGCACGCTGTCCGGATCGATTGCTGTGTAAGATGTTGTCGAATCCTGCAGCTGTGGGTTGTTGCCACGTGCCACTTGATATCACTAAGATATGGCGTGAGCAGCGGCTCTGCCGCTTGACACCGTTTTTTCTGTGGGCGACGGTGCCTGCGTATAGCGTAGCTGGGTCGTCATCACAGAAGACGAGCCGATAATGGCGATTTGGGATGACTGGCCTTCCATATCCCTTTTTTCTTGTCCTTTTTGTGTGGCATGTATACCGAGGTTCAAATCAGTGTTCTGGGCACGAGTATGTTGCTCAATGGTGCGTCGTAGTTAGGCTGCACATGTGCTTGCACGATGCCCTTCTCGCATCTTTCGTCCCTTTTGTCCTCCAAGCCGAGCCTGGTCAGATTCACCACATACCTTCGAATTTCCTATTGCGTGCTCTGGTCCGGTTCCCAATGGAAAGGGGATAACCTCGAGAGTTTCGAGCTTCAAACTGCCGCCTCCCGCCCCGGTAAATGGCTCTTTCTGTTGCGACGTACAGAAAGAGTGTGGGCCGCTAGCAGTATACACCGAGCGTCTTTCTGCATGCCGAGCGAGCCGTTGATGTCAAGGTGGCGGCGTGGCGACGGCTCTCAGTAGATCATGACTGTGAGCATACTTACTAACCTGGCAGATCCCTGTTCCAAAAGAAGCCACCGGTCTGCGATTCGTCGCACAGGGTAGAGCTAGAGAAGGGCACAAGCAACGAAAACCGGATAGAATGGGGCCAGGAAAGAGAGCCTGCTGTGGAGAGCCTCGCAGCCTCTGTGTCGAAGATTCTAACGCGGCTTCCTTTTTCTTCTTCGGTATGCTAGGCTTAGGCTAAGGCGCAACTGATCGACAGGTTTTCGGTTTCATTGGGTGTGGCTTAAGGCTTCGTTCGTATTGTCCTCACACACTCGTTGTCCAGATGATGTATTTTGCAAAGTTTGTAAAAATATTGTTCATAGAAGCAGGTTCCGTTGGACGGCGACCGCACCTGCGAGTCCTTGAACGATAGCATGAGAAAGGCAATGGCGGGGCGTCACTTGCGAAGGTCGCGCCTGCCGTCTCTGCCTGTTCCATCGTGGTTTCCCTGGCGCGCCCCCAACTCTGTGGCCCCATTCTCCGTCAACAATGACTTTGCCAAATCAATCTGGCCCTGTTGGGCGTGTCACACATACCTGCACAGCCAACTATTCCCCAGGCAAGCGGTTGCAAAGCATTTGTGTTGGTTGCATGGTATGCATTTTGTGGGTAATGTGCCCGAAGCAACCGCCTGTAAAAAGTATCCGTTGCTTTTCATCTCGACGCCATGCGCCATTTGCGCCTTGCTGGTTCCCCACACCTGCGTAGCTCTTACCCTTTCAGAGACCCTGGTTCGTCGCTCTTGCCCTACAGCGCTTTGCCGCTTGTTCTGTCTGTTGGTCCGTTCGATACAATATCACCGCTCCTTCCCTCTGAAGCCCGACTAGGAGAGTACACCATTGCGGCGCATCGCTCCTTCCTATTGTATTCATGTGTCGTTCCTGCGGCCTCTATGTAGTGATTGCTCTAACCTCTCTCTTTCTCTTTCTTTTTGACTTGTCACGCTTTGCATATTCCGTTCTCACGATTTCCCCTGTCCTTCTCCCACCTTAACATCGTTGACAGCTCCCGTCTATTTTGTCGCCCTCTCCCCAACGAATGACTGACTTGGCGAACGACATCTCCTCTTTCCGCGCGTGGTGTTGTCACCCTACCTCCGCACCCTTCCAGTCGCACGGACGTTCGGTCCCATTTAGCTTCTACAAACACATTTTACTGGCTCTATCCGCCATTTTGTCTCTGGGCAAGCTCTTCCGGCCGTGCATCAGACACTATTTGTGAGTTTTCAAAGAGTTTCGTCGTCTCCGCTGTTTCTCATTCGGTGTCTCCTTCACAAACTGTCTTGGTGTCCCGGCCCGCCTATGGCCTCTCTTGTCGTCTTTTTGTGTGTTGTGAACATCTTGCCTTCTTGACTTCCCCCTCTTTTGCTTCGTTTTTGTCCTTCTCGTCCTCCAGTTTGCTTTTGCTGCTCCCCTGCTTCCGCCATTCGCATGTTGCTCGTCAGCCTTCATCTCGCCGTTACTTTCCCTTCCCGTCTAACCAATTTCCCTGTGTTACGCCTTTCGCCAAGTCCATATTCATTCTGTCCGTTTTTCTGGGCTGTCGTTTTCAACACCTCTATTTTCGTCTTCTTCTTTTTCGTTATTTGCTGGCCTCTGTCTTTCACTCTTCTTTCTGTTCATTTTCGTCTTCCCTGTCCGCTCGCCTGGAAGAGGCACTCGGTACAGTGTAATACAGCCACGCCCCATGACAAAATGCAAATGGATAAAATAAATAAAATGCTACCTTAAGCTAACCGTTTAGTCTCTTCTTTCCTTCTTACTCCGTCGCCGCCTCCTCCTCCTCCTCCACCTCCTCATTCTCTCGTTACTACCCTCGGCGACTCGACGAACGAAACTTTTCAACAACAGTCTCACAGCGACATCTTGCATTCTGTCGTCGTACGCTTCTCTTTCGACATTTCGACAACCCTCTTAACCCACATCACCCTCTCGTCATCTCCCCCGCTAGTCGTTTCGCCAGCACTCTCAGCTCGAAATCTACTCCAGCGCTGTTTATCGCCGAGCTCGCTTCCGGAGCCTCTTCGCTACTCGTTCATGTGCGACAATTCCTAGGATCCTCAATATCCACCCTGTCTTCTATTCTACGACGATAATTCAAGCGCGCGACATCATCTTCGACGCAACCCTCTTGTCACCTGCCCTGCGCTATTTGCTTTGAGCCGTCTTTGCCTCCCCGCGTAAACCCTCAAAGCCAACCATTCTTCGAGGTCAGCCAGCCTAATCGTCAGCTCCATTTGACCCGTACCGCCGTTTCCCGTTCTGCTGTTCGACATACCGTCCTTTCCCCCCATATACGGAACAAATAGCTTGTCTTCTCCCGACTTGACCATTTCTCAATCGAATCCTTCATTTCCCAATTGTGGGCCCTTTCACATCGTGCTGCAGGGTAGCAAGGACGCAACTGAACGACATCCTCCAACGAGACAGCAGATTAGAGACCGCAAAGCGATTGATCGCTCATCAACCGAAATCGCAGGCGGTTCACTATCCACGGGCTTCTGCCGCGTGTAACGAGAGGACCTCACCGCGGAAAAATCGTCGTCTCGATATAGCCAGTGTTTTTGACCCGTCAACAGTCTCGGGTTTTCACTCGTGCCGTTTTTCGTGTCTCCCGAATAGGCGACCTTGGACGACTTGAAAAGAAACGAAACTGTGGACAAGATATCCGGCAGTATCAGAAGGAGCTGCACGCCGAACATATACAATCACCAGCCTTAGACACGCATCCAGTCCACTTGACCTAATGGTTATCATGGGGGCTTGCATGAGTTCAAATAGTGAGGAGGTGGAGCAGAAGAAGAGGAGTCAGAAGATCGACAAAGACCTCGAGGAAGATTCGAAGCGGTTACGGCGAGAATGCAAGATTCTACTGCTAGGTGAGTGTTTGCACTCGTTTCCTCTTTTGCCCTTGTCCTGTCCGAAGCCATTTTCTTGCAAGCTAACAGCGCGGTTCTCTAGGCTCGGGGGAATCAGGAAAGTCGACAATCGTCAAACAAATGAAGATTATCCATTTGAAGGGCTACTCGGAGGATGAACTCTTTAGCTACCGGCCAACCGTGTTCAAGAACCTGCTCGAATGCGCCAAGGCCGTGATCAACGCTATGCGCCAGTTTGAGATTGAGCCAGAGAGCGATGAGATCCGTGCGTACTGCGACTTTTTGCTCGATTATTCAATCGGATCTGGTCCACAGCCAAGCATCGACCCCAAAGTTGGCGAGGCTGTCCTGGCTCTCTGGGAGGACCCCGTCCGGGACCAGCTCATGGAGCGGCAGACGGAGTTCTACCTCATGGACTCGGCAGGATAGTAAGTGGCGCAATGATCGCGGCCAGTACCATCAAACATAAGTGTACTGCTAACGAAACAGTTTTTTCGACGAGGTGAGGCGGATTGTTCACCCGGACTATATCCCGAACGAGATGGACGTTCTGCGCGCCAGAACAAAAACAACCGGTATCTACGAAACACGCTTCCAGATGGGCCCACTGAGCATCCAGTAAGTTCAGCGCCTTGAAGACCCTCAATATTGAGGCTGCAAAGCTAACCACATAACAGCATGTTCGATGTTGGTGGCCAGAGAAGCGAACGGAAGAAGTGGATTCACTGCTTTGAGGATGTCACATCTATTATCTTTTGCGTGGCTTTGAGTGAGTACGATCAAGTTCTGCTCGAGGAAAGTAGTCAGAACCGAATGATGGAGAGTTTGCTGCTATTCGACTCTGTTGTCAACTCGAGATGGTTCATGCGGACGAGCATCATCCTGTTCCTCAACAAGGTTGATATCTTCAAGCAGAAGCTCGGCCGGTCACCTCTGGGCAACTACTTCCCTGACTACTCTGGCGGTGACGATGCCAATAAGGCAGCAAAGTACCTGCTGTGGCGGTTCAATCAGGTGAATCGGGCACACCTCAACTTATATCCTCAGTACGTATAGTCCCGATTTGCGCTCTTTGTGCCAACCGGTGGCAGGAAGCTAACATGCCACTCTCAGTTTGACCCAAGCTACCGATACGTCCAACATTCGCCTAGTATTTGCGGCGGTGAAGGAGACGATACTCAACAACGCCCTCAAAGATTCCGGTATCCTGTAAAAAGACGAACCGAAGAGGCCATATTCCATTTAGCGGACAAACGACGGCCGACGGCCGACGACCCAAGACTAATGACCGACGTCGATCGCTTCGCCGGCGTCGACTCCCAGAAGCTCATGCCCGCCTTTTCGCGCATTGGACAAGGCGGACCGCTCACATTCTGTGCGATGCTTAGTTTTGGCAGTTTTTGCTTTGCCTTTCTTATTTGGTCTTGCTTTTATTTTTCTCATTTGCATGACATACGGCGTTGAATGGTTCACAAGGAAAGTTGGAGCACAGTCTCTTAAGTCCTCTTCCGATTTTACGACTGCTTTGCGAGGCGTTTTCTGAGTGTTTTTGAACGACGGGCCTTTTGTTTTGATGATTTGGAGGGTGGGCACACTCTTTTTTGATGCTTGATATTTCTTGATATTTATTCGGACAAATAGTCTGCCAAGTTCTCTCTGGCTTGTTTCGTTACCCTATTGCAACATACCTCGTCTGCATTTTATCTGCAAAATTTATAATTCAAATACCACGCGCCGGCATATTAAGTGGGTTTAACCGCATGTTTTCGATTGATGGCCGCCAGATGCAATCAGTCAGTAAAACAGCCAACAATCACTATCCAGGCTGTCGTACTGTAGCGGAATGCTGGCACGGCGTTTACGCAAAAGCTGGTGCCCGAGTTTGAGGTAATTGCTCTGTGTTCAGAGCTCCTTTGAGCCGTGCCTGGCCCCCAAGGCCGTTCATGGTCTTTCACAGAGCACTAACGGTAATGCAACTAAATATACGACGTACCGAGAAAGAAAATGTGGAGTTGGTCCCATTTCGTTCCATTTTCTTTGTCCTCACCCAGCAAGGCTGCTGGTCCAATCATATGGGTCTCGTGGGAAGGCCATGCTCTGGACAGAACAACCTCCTCGACGCCCGTTCCGAACAACTATTCGAGGAACAGGTGAGGCGGTGTGTTCGGCCTTTTTCTCGTCGTCGTTGTTTCAAGTCACCAAACTGTGAACGTTATGCACCCTGAAGACGGGTTTTGCATTCACCACATTGTCCACCCGGCTCTCGTACCCATCCTATCCTACCATCAAACCGCTTATTGTGCAAACCTCTTGATCCATTCTATGGTCGGGTCTCCGGTAGTTTTGGTTACGGCCGTACTCCATAGTGCTAAGAAGCCTTTTCTTCCACGGCATCGCGCTGACTGAGAGCAGAAGCCCAAAACTAAGCCACGAGCAGAAACAAGTACCCACTTCCGAGAGAAAGGGGAAGGGGAAGGGGAAAATCAAAACTCACAATCTGATAAATGGATGAATGAATATAAAGGAACGTTACAAAGAGTAAAACCGAGCGAGTCGAAAGGACTTGCGCCGTGCGTCAAAGGCCAGGGGAAGTCAGGGCAACAGCTCAGGCAAGGACACCGACTTGCACTCAATCCAGGGGAGCTGTCGTTTTGTATGGCGGGGTTCCTGGCTGCGTCGTGCTACCTTTTTCGCCACTGGCCATCAGACAAGCTCTGTCAATTAATCCCGCGTACGTCGTGCGAATGGCTGCGAGGATGCTGTTCGACGATATTTCCCCGTCGTCGTGCGATTCCGTCTGCCCCAGCTGCAATCGTGTAAGACGAATGCGGAAGGAAGCCTGAATCAGGGGATCACATGCTAACGCGACAGCTGTACGCAATACTCTGAAGGTAGAACGACTGGCAGCTCGTGTGAGAGCTGTGTCAAAAGGTACCAGCGAAAGCAATGCAAAAAGACAGCGAAGTAACTGCGTTTCGTCCACAAGAACTCGGCACTCTCTTTGGTCCCCATTTCTCATCAATACGTAACGGACCTTCACCTGGCGTGAGACAATTGCCCCGTCGTTATTACTGCATCGGTGGAGACGGTATTTCGTAGGCTGGCAGCTCGCTTCCATGCGGCCATCGTATCGAGCCTGGTCCTCTGTCACTGACACATTCCCGATCAAATTGTCTCAGTCACTTGGACGCTGCATTCGGCACTGCTTCTGTCCACGCATGCGATCGACATCGTTCCTCACGCGGTGCCAAGCTGCCATGGACAGACGCCCCAACAGCAACCGCTCCTTTCTTTCGTTCCTCCCATCTACCCCGCCCCCACTGAAGCCACCGACGTCGAGCCTGTCCATTGCTGTTTGTTGCCACCGGATCACCACCAGAATGCGCCAAGGTCTCTCTTTTCTCTCTCCCGCACGCGGCATTCCTTATCTCTGATAACACATGGCGCGAGCTCCGCGTCTTTTCTTGCTTCTGCCAACGAACTGTCGGACAGCCCATCCACGGCCTCACCATCCCGTCCCGCTCTCCCATCTGCTCCCATTCAAATTGGCCTTGCCAGAGATATGCGGTTTGGCTGCAAGTAGTGCTGGGCCGTTCATATGCGTCTCTGTCTTTTGCAACGCGAGGAAAGTGGCCGGTAGACAGCTTGCAGAATGTGGGTGTGTTTCTGTTTTCCCATTTCCTGTAAGATACGAGGGAGGGATCCATGGTGGTGTCATCTTCAAGGCTCTTTTATCCCAACCCGTCCTGTTCTGCCCCTCTCGTGCAGCTGCGTGCAGCAGCTCAGATCCAATCGCTCAATTCGAAGTTGAAAATAGCTGTCGCTGGCACAGCACGGTCGGTCCTTCCTCATACAATCGACGCATACCGGACCCGTAGAGGCAAAAAAGCTGCAGCTCCTACGCAAGCTCCAAGCAGCAGAATGCCCACTTTTTAATTATAGTGCATCGTACTTGCCCTCTTTACCTCCCCATCTAGACGCTGAGACCAGTTTGGCAGTTACCCCATCCTGTTTTCTTCTTAAGCTCCCCCGCCCTGCTCACCTCCTGTCATCGTCTCCATTCCCCCTTCTTTCTTGTCTTTCCCCCTTTTCCTTGTCTTTCTGACAGACGATTGTGGTTGTGCTTTCATCTTTGTCTTTTGTCGTGATCTTTTTTGGGATTCGTTTTTTGGTTGCTTGTGCCTGGTTTTCTTGTCACCGTTGACATCACTCTGTCCTTTCTTCCAGACCTCTTTGGATAGCTCTTATCTCGGCCTCTTATCGCCTTGCCACGATCCACCTCCCCACCATCTGCCACGATCAACCGTTTCGAACCGACAGATCGTCATGTCTGCGCAGCAGCTTCCCACGCGCGAGCGCCGTCCCTCGGCCAGTGCACCGATTGTCGACATTCAGGGCTCTGTCAGCCCCGCTGGCATCACCCGCCCCAAGCACAAGCGTACCTTTACCGGCTTCGGTGCTCAGGAGATCAAGGGTGTTGAGGGTGAGGCTCTTTCTTGTTGCCTCCTTGGCCGAATTGCACGCCTCCGTTGTCGGAAACTAGCTAACATTCTCCTCCCCCCCCCCCCACCCCAGCTTCCATTCCCGAGCCCCAGCGCGAGGCATGGCTGAAGAACCAGGTTTCTGGTTTCAAGGACAAGGACCAGTTCGAGAAGGAGGTCGTCCGCCATATCGAGACCACCCTGGCCCGCAGCATGTTCAACTGCGACGAGACTGCCGCCTACGCCGCCACCAGCCTGGCATTCCGCGACCGCCTGATTATTGAGTGGAACCGCACCCAGCAGCGCCAGACGTTTGCCGACTCGAAGCGCGTATACTACCTGAGTCTCGAGTTCCTGATGGGTCGTGCCCTTGACAACGCCATGCTCAACATTGGCGGGAAGGAGATTGCCCAGAGTATGTGATGTGTTTCTTACTTGTATCCGTTTCCCAGCGCCCAGGCGTGCTAACAAAAGCAGCTGGCCTGTCCGAGCTTGGTTTCCGCGTCGAGGACATCATCCAGCAGGAGCACGATGCTGCGCTGGGCAATGGCGGCCTCGGTCGCCTAGCTGCCTGCTTCCTCGACAGTCTCGCGTCGCTCAACTACCCTGCTTGGGGTTACGGTCTGCGCTACCGCTACGGCATTTTTAAGCAGGAGATCATTGACGGCTACCAAGTGGAGGTGCCCGACTATTGGCTGGACTTCAACCCGTGGGAGTTCCCCCGTCACGATGTGACTGTGGATGTATGCTTTCCCTCTCCCACGCATGATTTTGATGTCTCTTTTGTTTTTATACTAACAACCTGAAGATCCAATTCTATGGCAACGTCAACAAGACGACCGACGACTCCGGCAAGGTCACTGCCCACTGGGAGGGTGGCGAGGTGGTTCGCGCTGTGGCCTACGACGTGCCCATTCCCGGCTACGCCACTCCCTCCACCAACAACCTGCGTCTGTGGTCCAGCCAGGCGTCTGGCGGCGAGTTTGACTTCCAAAAGTTCAACAACGGCGACTACGAGAGCTCCGTGGCCGATCAGCAGCGCGCCGAGACCATCAGCGCCGTGCTGTACCCCAACGACAACCTCGACCGCGGAAAGGAGCTGCGCCTGAAGCAGCAGTACTTCTGGGTGGCCGCTTCGCTCTACGACATTGTGCGTCGTTTCAAGAAGACCAAGCGCGCCTGGCGCGAATTCCCCGACCAGGTCGCCATCCAGCTCAACGATACCCACCCGACACTGGCCATTGTCGAGCTGCAGCGCATTCTCATTGATCTCGAAGGTCTTGACTGGGACGATGCCTGGAACATTGTGCAGCAGACGTTCGGCTATACCAACCATACCGTGCTTCCCGAGGCGCTTGAGAAGTGGTCTGTCGGCCTCTTCCAGCACCTCCTGCCGCGCCACCTCCAGATCATCTACGACATCAACCTGTTCTTCCTGCAGATGGTGGAGCGCAACTTCCCCAAGGACCGCGATATGCTGAGCCGCGTTTCCATTATTGAGGAGTCGCAGCCCAAGATGATCCGTATGGCCTACCTGGCCATTGTCGGCTCCCACAAGGTCAACGGCGTCGCCGAGCTGCACTCGGATCTCATCCGCACCACCATCTTCAAGGACTTTGTCACCGTCTTCGGCCCGGACAAGTTCGTCAACGTCACCAACGGCATCACGCCCCGCCGCTGGCTGCACCAGGCCAACCCCAAGCTGTCGGCCCTGATTGCCTCCAAGGCGGGC